ACACAGCCATTTCAGCCAGCAGGGAAAGGGGGAGCTCATCTAGTCCAGTATCTGGTTCTCACAGTGGCCAAGAGGATAGCTCTTCAAGGCAGCCTGAGGACAGGATCGGAGGATCGGAGATAGCCCTCTCTGCCGGTGGCTCCCCGGGATCCGTCACCCGGAGGTAGGGGCTCCATTCAGCTGTCATAAGACAGTACCAAACTATCGAAGGCTTTTCACCAAAGCCAGACTAAACGTCTTTCCTTCTGCAGTGTTGGATGGCAGGTTGAGAGGAGTTCCCTACCAGGACAGACTTTGCTCGTGTGCTCAAGACATTGATTCCATAAAACATATTTTGTTGCATTGTGCAAAATATGAGCAAGCCAGGGCTGAACTGATACTACCCTTGTTGGTACCTTTCCCGGGAAAATCAGAGGCTCACTATGTCAGGTTCCTATTGGAAGAATGGACAAATGCTAGAACATTAGCAGTGGCAAAGTTCTTATCGGTGGTTGCAAGAACCAATGATCCCTATATTCTGAACAAAATGCTTGTTTAAACTGGAGGTAGGCTGTATGAATTGTGTATTGCTTTGTAACGATTTGTTGGGTCTCTGGACCGTAATAAAGATTGATGATGATGGTCATAAGAAGAGTTGTGAGAACATCTTATAACTGCACCAACACAAGATTGGGCACACCTGGCTTGTCAGTAAGTAGTACATGTGAAAAAGATCAATAAGAAGTAATAATAATAAATTTTTATTTATACCCCGCCCTTCCCAGTTCAAAAAACCGGGCTCAAGGCAGCTAAAAACAAATTTTAAACACTTAATTAATGCAACAAAAAACAGCATAAAATACGGTATAAAAGAAAAATAACAATAAAATCAGAATTCAAAAATCAATTTAGGGGGGAAATCCATCCAATAAACATTAGATGATCACCAGGACTAGCTGGCTAAATTAGTCCTATTTGGGCCAGTGAGGAGACCAGGGGAGAATTAGCTGTGGGATCCCAGAGCGGGTAATCTTCATAAAAAGGGGAGAGGGAGGGAAGGAAGGGGAATAAAAGATCAGGCTAAGTTCAAATTGAAGGCCAGGTGGAAGAGCTCTGTCTTACAGGCCCGATGGAAGGAGGTTAAATCCCGCAGGGCCCTGGTCTCCTGGGACAGAGCATTCCATCAGGTTGGAGCCATCACTGAGAAGGCCCCTGGCCCTGGTGGAGGATAGTCTGACTTCCTTAGGACCTGGGACCTCTAAAGCTATGATTACTCATGGACCTTAAGGTCCTCTGCGGGGCAGACCAGGAGAGGCGGTCCCGTAAATACAAGGGCCCTAAGTAGACCCCTAGTGTAACATGAGTCAACCATGTGATGCAGCACCAAAAAAGTCTAATGTTATTCTAGGCTGCATCCACAGAAGTCCAGGGTCTAGGTCAAGGGAAGGCACAATCCCGGTCTGTTCTACCTTGGTCAGACCCCACCTGGAACACCGTGTCCAGTTCTGGGAGCCACAATTTAAGGAGGATATTGAGATGCCTGAATATGTGCAGAGGAGGGAGAATGAGATGACCAAGGGTCTGGAAACCGAGCCTGATGAGGAACGGTTGAAGGAGCTGGGTATGTTTAGCCTGGAGAAGGGGAGAGTGAGGAGATACGAGATCCATCTTCCAACATCTCAAGGGCTGTCCCATGGAAGAGGGAGAAAGCTTCTTTTCTCCTGCTCTGGAACCAAACTGGATCAAGCCGAGACCAACCAGGTGCAGCTCCCTCACAACTGGTCTTCAGAAGCTGGTTCCCTCACAACTGGCATTCACAACCCCAAAAGAGAGTTTTACGCACCTGGATGACATCGCAGTCCCCCAGCGTGAAGGTGAGGCTGGGGTTCTCCTCGACCACCGTGCCGCCCTGCAGCATGGTCTTAAGGCGGACGGTGACATCCTGGCTCTTAACCGGCCGGGTCTCCGGTCCCTGACCTGCGACGATGACTTTCTTTTTCAGCAAACCGCTCCCTGCGGGAGGAACCAAGAGAACATGAAGGAGAGCAGAAAGATGTTTGTATCCACTTTAATTAATTGGGATGATATTTGGTGTTCCTCACTGGGCCAGCAACAAGGCGTTGGGTTTATGAATGAGGGGAAATGGCAATAGATGGGACTTTCTGTGTATATTTTTTGCAGATGTATAACTGAATGTGAAACAGATAGATACCAGAAATCTGTAATTTTTTTAACAGAGAAGCAAGTTTTGCTCTTCCTGATTTTTTTCAACAACTTTATGGAAGATTTTTAACATATGAAGCCCTAAAATCCAAACTCATTTATAATAAAATCAATATATTAAGAGAGAAGCATAATAAAGAAAAATAAACTATAAAACAAAATATGATCCTTACAAAAGAGAGGAAAAGAGCAGAGAAAAAGTAACTAAAAAGACCCTTTATCACACTTCTGTCATATATTGTGCCATTTATCCACACACATAAAGGCAGAGAGGGGGATTTTTGAGTTGTTCCTGTTTTTATTTTTCTTATGTATTTTGTGTTTTATCTTTTGAACCGTCCTGACACCTGCATCCTTTGCAATGAATTTTGACATGGGGGGAAGGGGACAACTAGGAAAAAGTAGAAGTGAAAATAGAAGTGGGAGAATCATAGAATTTCTCCAGAAGGGAGAAATAGAGGTGGGCCAGAGGGGAAGCCAATCCCAGCTGCACCGGTGGAACTTCTGCCTGCCACAGCTTTTGCTGAAGGCGCCGTCCAAAGGCAGGGTGCCCTCACCTAACACATCCACCCACTCGGGGGTCTCCTCCGCGTCTTCCGGAGCAGGGGGCTGCGAGGCGGCCGTCTCTCGGCCGTCGTTTCTGGGCACGTCCTCCAGCGGAGGCAGGCCGATCAGGTCCTCGTCTCGCCCTTCCTCTTCCTCCTCGTCGTTATCCAGGACTTCGAAATCCTCCCCGCTGTCCAGCGTGGAGGTGTTGGATTTCGCCAGCTCGGGAGAGGTCAGGTCCACCAGGCTGGCCCCCGCCCAGTCCGGAGAAATGTCGTCCAGACCTTCTCCCCCGGAAGCCATGGCGGCGGCGGATCAGGGCAGCTGGAAAAGGAAAAAGGGGAGGGAAGAAGAACATACGTTTAAAGAAGATCGGGGAATGTTTATTGAATATATGGAGGGAAATTGTGTTTATTTGAAAACGTGGGCAGCATTAAGATAAACTCAACAGTGTAAGTAAGTTTTGATGGATGTAATAACGGAATACTGAATGGTTTAGTTGAAAACCTCCAAGGAAGGAGAGTCCACCACATCTCCGTGTCGAACAGTTCTTACCCCCAGAAAGTTCTTTCTGATATTTAGTCGGAATCTCCTTTCTTGCAGCTTGAAGCCACGGGTTCGAGTTCTGCCCTCCCCAAACAGGAGAAAACAAGCTTGTTCCCGCTTCGCATTTGACAGCCCTTGAGATATTGGAAGATGCCATTCCTGCATTGCGGGGGGGTTTGGATTAGATGACCTTTGGGGACCTTCTATTATCTTATCCCCTCTCAGTCTGCTTTTCAGGCCAAACAGCCCTAATAAGGTTCTGTTTCCATCTCAGCCCACCCTCCTCCTCTGTGCAAGGAGCTCAATGTGGCATACTTGGCTATCCATTTCTTAATTTTAAGCCCCAACAACAACAACCCTTGCAAGGTAGGTCTGGCGGAAAAGAGGAGACCGCCCCCCAAGCTCACACTTTTGTCTCAGCAACGGATTCGAACCCTGCACTCTCTAGCAGGTTCTAGCCCACGTCAGAAGGCAGCCATGATAACTGGGGACTTCCTAGCTTACAATTCAGCTCCTATTTTGACAAGACCACCTCCCAAGCTGTTAGGACGAGATTGGTGCGAATCTCCTCTTTGTCCTTAACAGAACCCCAAGCATGCATATTGGAGAAATCGCCCATCCCCCAAGGTTTAGGGGTGAGGAAATGATCCTACAGACAGGTTTAAGACATCTCCAGTTTCTTAGGCACCCAGAGAGATTGCAGATGCTGATAACTTTTAAAAAAAAAACCACACGATTGAGATTTTAATCCTACCCCATTCTGCCAGAAAGTTCAAGAGATGGGTGGGGCAGAGAGGAAGGAAGGAAGCAAGAATCATAGAATGATAAAATCTGCAGATTTGGAAGGGAACCCAAGGGTCATCTAGTCCATAATATAATAATTTATTATTTATACCCCACCCATCTGGCTGGGTTTCTCCAGCCACGCTGGTCGGCTTCCAACAGAATATTAAAATACAATAACCTATTAAACATTAAAAGCTTCCCTAAACAGGGCTGCCTTCAGATGTCTTCTAAAAGTCTGGTAGTTGTTTTTCTCTTTGACATCTGATGGGAGGGCGTTCACAGGGCAGGCGCCACCACCGAGAAGGCCCTCTGTCTGGTTCCCTGTAACCTCGCTTCTCGCCAGGAAGGGAACCGCTAGAAGGCCCTCGGCGCTGGACCTCAGTGTCCAGGTAGAACGATGGGGGTGGAGACGCTCCTTCAGGTATACTGGACCGAGGCCGTTTATGTTACAAAACAAGAAAAAAAACAATAATCCCATCCTCATGCCCATAACACATCATCAGAATCATCATAATTTTCATTCTTGCACCGATCTCTGCGAGGTAGGCTAGGCCACAAGAGAGAAACCCACCAGGGCAAAGGTCCGCTAAGCCAGTTTGGGGACCAAACTGAGGGTTTGCAGGCAGACAGCTGCCAAATTTTTACTGCGGTTTCATCACAGAACTGCAGGGCTAGAAGGGATGCCAAGGGTCATGTATCCCAACCCCCAGAAATGCAGGGATCAATCACAGCCAATACGGCACTTGCCTCTCTGCAGGGTCAGAAAACATTACCTTAAGAATAAACATAATGGGTCGTTCCCAGCCGAGTTTTTCAGGAGTAGACCCCTTGGAAATTAACGGACCCATGGATCTCAATAATGGATCTGCTCAGAATATGACCTACATTGGAAATGTCCTTTTTTAAAACGATGATGAGCTGTATTCAATGTTAGTCACAGCAATCGGCATAAACCATTGAAGTTGCTGGGTATGACTAACCTAGACCAATAGGCTTGAATAGCTCCCTTAGCTGGAGACATATATTATATAATAAAGCGCTATATTCACTTTTCTATTATTATTTGCTGTCTCTCTCTCTCTCTATGTGTGGTATGTGTGTGTGTGAATTTGGAAATTGTTTCCTGCAGAAAAGTAATAATATTAATACAAACACTTAGAAGCGTAGCGGATAGAGTGCCGGACTGGGGCCTGGGTTCAAATCCCCCCAACTCAGCTATGAACCGTTGGGTGACCTGGGGGGGGGCAGTCACTGTCTCTCAAGCCAACCTACTTTGTAGGGCTGTTGTGTTGATGAAATGAGAAGCAGGAGGGCCACATACAATACCCTGAGCTCCTCAGAGAAATAAATAAACAAATAAATAACAAACAAACAACAAATCAATCAATCCCACTTTCCCATAACAACAGCAATAAAGAACAATAAGTAAATTTGCTTATTCATAGACTGTTGCTGGAGGAAGCTTTTCATGGACAAAACTCCCCAAACCTTCAGAAATTCACATTGCCTTCCTAATAATGATAATAACAGGAATAATTTCATTATTTGTACCCCGCCAATTTGATTAGGTTGCCCCAGGCACTCTGGGTGGCTTCCAACATACGCAAAAACGTAAAATCTAGATGTCTTCTGAATCTAAGTAATGATGATACAGTAATAAATTTGTTTATTTGTCGGTTCTGTTCCTAGAGGAGCCTATTTTGGAGGCTAAGTCTCCCTGCACCTTCGAAATTGACATGCCTTCTACACTCACAAGCACCCATCCTCTCCCCAGCAGACCAGACCCGGGGCACCCCAAGCTGACCCCTTTCTCAGGCTCCACCAGGACAGGGAAGGGAACAAGCAACTCACGGTCAGCAGATTCGCAGCACAAACAACAGGAAGCCGGCGTCTGCGCAACATGTCATTAACCTGTGGAACTCCCCGAGGGAAGGGCTCGGTTGCGAAACGCCTGCGTCACATGCAAAAGGCTCAGTCCCTAATGGGATCCCCAGGAAGATCTGGAATGTGCCCCGCCAGAAGCCCTGGGAGAGCCACTGCCAGTCAGTGCAGGCAATGCTGAGTTCGAGGGACACAGTTTTGAGGCAGCTTTCTGCATTCCTTTGCTAAAAGGTTTTTAAGAAGATAAAACCTTCAAGCAAGTCTGCCTGCAATTTTGCCCTTTGCAGAAGGAATGCTCGTGGCTCAAGAGATGGTACGGAACAATATCAGAGTAATATTATGCACGAGACCCTTGATATTAGGGTCGTGGGTTCGAGACCCATCTTGGGCAAAGATCCCTGCATTGCAGGGAGTTGGACTAGGTTACCCTAGCGATCCCTTCCAACTCTATGATTCTATGTGCATGCAAGGGGAAAAGCAGGAAGCCAGGGCGGGTTCGGATCTCGCCTCCGCTGAACTCCCTAAGTAGATATCCTTATCCAAGACGCCCTCTGTTTCTTTCTGAGCCTAACCCTGGCACCCTTCCCTGGGCCCCACCTGCTGCAACACTTCGCAGGGTTGCTGTAATTACTTGTGCTCTGATCTGACCATTCGGGCAAATATAATAATAATAATAATATTAAGACCTGCCTGGTAGCCAGATTCTGCACCCAGATTTGTAGGCACAGGTCATCCTCCAGAATAAAATAGCTTACTAGGGAAATGCTGAAGTCGCCCTTTGGGGAGCCTCAGGGTCAATTTTTATGGTAGCCCAAATCTCAGTTGTACGGGTGTCTGTATATATCTCAATTTTAACTCATGAGCTATTGCTGCAATCTGCTCTGGTTGTATATTTTCTCTTTATGAACGCTGTTTTTATTGTGTTATGCGAGCTGGTCTTTGACCGTAATAAATTATCTATCTAATAATAATAATAATAACCACCACAATTCCATTTTAGCATGCCATCTCAGGATTATAATTAAATTAAAGCATTCTGACACAGGCAGGCACGAAAGGACAGCAAAGCCCGATCAAAAAACCAGGTTCTGCCCCAACACATCCAAGCAGGCTGGCTGGCAGGCAGGCAAAGACGGCTGCAACCCAGGACATATTTCCGTGCCTCACCTCAACCCACACGCAGAGAGGAGGCAAGGGCTGGCGAGGCCAGGGTAAATGAAAATAATAATAATGTGTATTTCTAGGCCACAAAAGTGAGTCGAGGGCGCACACCCACACCCAACACAGGAGATCTTGAGGACTAGGAAGCTTATCACAGCAACACGGGGAAACGGAGAGAAGATTTGTGTTGGATTTCAAAGCAGGGTTACGTGATGTGGCCTAGCCTCTGAAACGCCACCCCCCCACACATGGGCCCAGGCGCCCCTTGGCCGGGCTCCAAGGTTGAGGCCTTAATCCCCAGGCGCTTCCTCCAATCCCTCCCCCACCCTGCCTAAAACTTGGCAGCCAGGCAGAGGAGCAAATGGCAAATCTGGGGTCCTGGGCTTACCGCTATGGGCTTCCCAAGAGCTGCGTGTTCGAGCCCTCGAGTCCCGGATTCAAAAGGCGCCACATGCACGACCTGCAAAACAAGATAAAATTTTATGGGGGGGTGGAGAGAGGAAGGCAGCTAATGCAGAAAGGATTGCAAACACACAAACAAACCCCCCCCCCCCAGGTTGCAAAGTCCAGGCAACTGCCTTCTCTGAACCTCCACCACCCACCCCCTCTCCCCATTGCATGGGTGCAATCTCTGCCTTCCCCACTGTTAAGAACTCCCCCCCACATTCCTGCCTCCCCTCTTCTCCCCCCCCCAAAAAAATATATTGCTTGCAAGGCACTCACCTGGTCCAGGAATGATTCCTCTCCCACCAACCCCCACCTCAATTCCCCCACCACTGGCTCAGCTGACAACAGGAAGGCAACGCTACTGGCTAATGGGGCTGCCAGTCAAACCCTGCCCCCTCCCTCTTAAAGGGAAAGGGAGGAAAAATATTTCCCACGCAGATCTGATTTATTTTGCTTCCTAAAATTCGTAAACAGCCTGACCCTAAAATTATTTTTAAATTTTATTGTATTATTGCATTATTTCATTTTTTTTAAAAAAATGAAATTATTTTTAAAAATCATTTTAGAAGTTGTGTGTCCTTGTTTCTCGGTTTGATCCTTTCCCATGATTTTGTATAGGGCTTGCCCCCTGGCAAAAGGGTGTCCAGAACCCAACCTCGCAGGGTCGTTGTTAGGGGGAAACAGGGAGGGAGAGAAGCCTGGATGCCCCCTTGGGCTGCTTCTGAAGAGAGGGCAGACTATTGAAGTGTGATAATAAAATGAGGAATAGGATGCAAAGAGCATAAATAAATAAATGAATTTAAGGACAGTGGGTACAGATTAATAGCAAAATAAAGGCATTGGCTTTCATTTCAAATTACACTGCTATAGCCACCTATAGCAGTCCAGCAAGCACAGTAATTCTGTGTATGTTTACTCAGGTTTCTAGTCCTCATGGCAGCAATGCTTCTGAATGCTGCTTGCTGGAAGCTTTTGTGCTTGGATTCCTCTTGGAACCTGGGATAGCTCAGTTGGTAGAGCATGAGGCTCTTAATCCCAGGGTTGTGGGTTCGAGCCCCACGTTGGGCAAAAAGATTCCTGGGGGTTGGACTGGATGACCCTCATGGTCCCTTCCAACTCTACAGTTCTGTGAATCTGTGAGTCCTGCTTGTGGGCTTCCCATTGGCTGGCCGCTGTGAGAACAGGATCCTGGACTAATAGGCTACATGGGCTCTTCTGACGGGTAATGTGGTTTAGTGATTGGAGCACTGAGAGGCCAGGGTTGAACCCCCCACTTGGCCATGAAGGTCATTGTGTGACCCGGGGCCAGTCATTGCCTCTCAGCCCAACGTACCTCATAAGGACATTGTGAAGATAATAAATAAGTCCTATTGCATCCAATAGAACTTACTCCCAGGTAAGGATCACAGCCATAATTCAGCTTGCTCCTGTGTAACCAGCAGCTGGCCAATAGGCACAGGGTCCAAGCCCTGGGGGGGGGCAGGGCATATTAAGAATAAGATCTGTCCCAACATTTAGCTATTAAAATAGGACACTATTCATTATTCTTCTCTCCCTGTTAAATGTGTTATAGATATACAGTCCAGCAACTCATAAAAAGGTAAAGGTAAAGAGACCCCTGACCATTAGGTCCAGTCGTCAGTGGCGTAGCGTGGGGGGTGCAGGGGGGGCTGGCCGCACCGGGCGCAACATCTGGGGTTAGGGCAAATCCAAGGGTTAGGGGGCGCAAATCTACGGGTTAGGGGGCGCAATTACTTGCCTTGCCCCGGGTGCTGACAACCCACGCTACGCCACTGCCAGTCGTGGCCAACTCTGGGTTGCGGTGCTCATCTCACTTTATTGGCCGAGGGAGCCGGCGTACAGCTTCCGGGTCATGTGGCCAGCAGGACTAAGCTGCTTCTGGTGAACCAGAGCAGCGCACGGAAACACTATTTACCTTCCCGCCGGACTATTTATCTACAGTGAACGCTCGGGTTGCAAACGTGATCCGTGATCCGTGCCAGAAGCACATTTGCAACCCGTAGAGTTCAAAACCCGCAGAGCCGTGTGTGCACACGTGCGGATCGCAATTCGGCGTTTCTGCACATGTGCAAAGCGCGATTTAGTGCTTCTGCGCCATGCGCAAGCGCAGAAACCCGGAAGTAACCACTTCCGTTACTTCCAGGTTTGATGTGGTGTGCAACCTGAAGCATATGACTGTACTTGCACTGTGATGTGCTTTCGAACGGCTAGGTTGGCAGGAGCAGGGACCGAGCAATGGGAGGTCGCGGGGATTCAAACCGGCGACCTTCCGATCAGCCAAGCCCTAGGCTTAGTGGTTTAGACCACAGCGCCACCCACGTCCTTAGCAACTCATAGGAATGTTTAATAATTTAATACTCATAGGAATGTTTAAGAATTGAGGTGTTTGTCAGGGGATGAGGAAACGGAGGTCCTCCAAATTCATGGAAATGTCATCAGAGGGTACCCTAAGCGTCATCTAGTCCAGCCCCTGCAATGCCATGTCTTTGCCATCACCAATGATGGGGGTCCAGAATCCAGCAACAAGGTTCCGCAACCGTTTCATTGACACCTATTAGCCATGAGAGAGAGACGGAACCTCCCTATACAGAGGAAGTCTATCTCTGACTACCGGATGTGGGATAAACAGCAGGCAGGTACTTGTCCCAGGTACAGGAGCTGCCTGAAAACATTTAACTGGCTCAAACCAGCTTATAAGCGAGGAAAATCTAGTTTTAGATCCCTCCACACTCAACAGAAGCTCCACATCCAGCTGCAGTCTACCTGCCTGCAGAGTAAACCTCAGGAGGCAACTCTCTCAACTTCCCACACCTTGTGGGGAAATGCTGGATGGGCAAGAGGATGAACTTCCAGTGTCCTTAAAAGCAGAGTGCAGACTGGATTGCCTAACACAAGAGTCAGGTTATGCATTAACCATTTGTCTCTCAGCCAAGTATTTGTCCCACGCAAGTATTTCTCAAAAATAAAAGAGCCAAGGAGAGTGGGAATTGCAATAGCTGGCATTTAATTGCATTAAGTGTGCAATAAATCAGCTTTTGCCAAGTTTCGCAGTCACAGAATGAGCTCTGATGTGGCCAAGTTTGCAGATGAAACTAAATTGTTAGGGGTTGCAATGCAAATGTAAAGGAGCCAAAAAAATTTGAATTTTACATATATGCTCCTTGGGTCTTAACTGGCAATAACTGACCAGGAATGTAACACTGGGTTCATAGCAGTTCGCTCAAATGAAGATGTTAAACCCAGTATGTGTCAGATATGAAAGAGGCAAATTCCATGCTAGGGATCTTTAGGAAATAAATTGAGAATAAAGCTGCTGTTCTACAAATCTATGATGCAGCCACAAGGCAGCGTGAAACAGGCAGTAGAATGAAAACTGCACCCCAAAAGCACATTTCAGCCTCAGGCCACGCGCCACTGCCAGGTGGGCTAAGGCACCCTGTGCCTAGCTTGTAGTCTATCAAGATCTACGCTCTGCACGTGCCCAGAAACCCTGGTGAGCCAACATATGCCTACCTTGCTGCCTCTGGAGTAACACCCTCTCCATGTGGCCAGAAAACCCAGGGAGGAAGGTGCGACCGACCATCTTGTTTAAGGAGAAATGAAACCTCTGCACATGCCCAGAAACCCAACTGGGAGCAGATTGTAACTAACCGGTTGTCTAGGGATGCCCTCTGCACATACCCCCGAAACCCTGGGGGCCAGCATATACCCATCTTGCTGTGTAGGGAGTAACGCACTCTGCACGTGCTCAGAAACTCGGAGAAGGGTGTCAAACTTTACCTAATTCATTCCATGTTGCTAATATATGTGTTGGAAGCCGCCCAGAGTGGCTGGTGCAACCCAGCCAGATGGGCGGGATGTAAATGTCCATTTTTTATTTATATTTTATTAATCAGAGATAAACTCTGCACATGCCCAGAACCCGCGGTTCTGCCCCTCCCTTAAATTATAATTTACTAGATTTACTTCATTATATATCGTAAATCTAGAGCCTACTTTGCTGTTTGTGGCGATGCACTCTGCACATGCTCAGGGGCACCCGCTCGGCGTCTCCTCCGCGCTCCTAGCCAGACGCTTGGGGGCGTGGCCTGGGGCGGGCAAGGGGGCGTGGCCAGCGGAGTTCCCCAATCGAGACGGAGGACGAGCCGCGCTGGGCTAGGCGCGGAAGCAGGCCCCGCGTTGCCAGGGAAACGGGCCGGGTTCCCGTACGCACGCACGCACGCACGCACGCCGCGCAAGGGGGACGCCGAGGTCGCGCCGTGCGTGGGGCCACGCCCCAACCCGGAAGTGAGCGAGCGGGCGAGCAAGCTGGGCTCCGTGCGCGCGCCTGTCCGGGGCAGGAGGCGGCCCTCGGCGGGGGCAGCGGCGGCGGCGCGGAGCGAGGGGCCGCCGCCCTCACCTCCGGCGCCTCGACGGGCCCTCAAGGCTCCCCCGCCCAGGGGAGCCCGGAACTGGCGAGGCCCCTCAGGTAGGCCGGGGGCGGGGCCTCCTGGGAGGGGGGCGCCTTCCCTTCCCGGAGGCAGGAGCTCTTCTTGTGCGGGGGGGGGGGGAATAAGCTGGGGAGGGCCTTGTGGGTGGAGCCTTTGCCTTGGTGGGCGGGGCCTTCTCGGCTCTTGGAGGTTTGTTGTGGGCGGGGCTTCTGGTTTCAATGGGTGGGGCTTATTGGGGAGGAGTTTGTGGGCGGGGTCTTTGGTCGGCGGGGCTTTGCTGTTGGGAGCTCGTGGGCGGGGCCTTCTTGCATGGGTGGGCGTGGTTTTGCAAGGGAGGGGCTTGATGTGGGTGGCGCTTCTGGTTGGAGTGGGCGGGGCTTGTCTGTTATTGGGGAGGGTCTTGTTGCAGGGGCTTTGAAGGAGGAGCAGGAGGTCAGTTGGGAAGCTTCCTTGGCTCCTGTTATGGGGAAGGGGCTTTGCCTGGCGTGGCAAAAGTGCTTCTCAGATAACAAGGGACTTTGATTTCTGGGGAAGGGGCTTGCTTACAACAAGAAAAAAGACACTTTACACTTCCTTTTTGATCTTGCCACCCAGGAAGGGCAGGGCTGCTTGGTCTCTTCTGCTGCTGCTCGCAGCTTGGCTCACTTACTTGAGATAAAATCCCCATTCCTTGTAGATTAGCGCCTGTCTCCTCTCGCGCAGGTGGCACTGTAGGTTAAACCACAGCGCCTAGGGCTTGCCGATCAGAAGGTCGGCGGTTCGAATCCCCGCGACGGGGTGAGCTCCCGTTGCTCGGTCCCTGCTCCTGCCAACCTAGCAGTTTGAAAGCACAACAAAGTGCAAGTAGATAAATAGGTACCGCTCCAGCGGGAAGGTAAACGGCGTTTCCGTGCGCTGCTCTGGTTCGCCGGAAGCGGCTTAGTCATGCTGGCCACATGCTGTACGCTGGCTCCCTCGGCCAATAAAGCGAGATGAGCACCCTCTACCTTACCTCTCATGTAGATGCTCTTCTGGTTTGCGCCTTGCCTGCTAGATCCTCGTGGCTTCTCTGAATCACTTCCTCAATGTTCTCCCTCTTCCTTCTTTCCACCCTGACCTCTTCCTTCTTCTCCTCAGGTACAAGCCCCACGTTAAGATGGAACCCACGGCCTCAGCCGTCTTCTGCAGCCGGGTCCTTGGCATGGTCAACTCGGAGGATGTGAACGCCATCATCCTGGCTCAAAAGAACATGTGAGTGGCCCCCGATTTTATTTCGCGGCACTGGACTTACCCACCTTGGTAGCTTTTCTTTCTCTTCATAGAATCATGGAATTGTAGAGTTGGAAGGGGCTCCCAAAGGTCATCTAATCTAACCCCCTGGCATGCAGGGATCACAGAAGCCTGGACAGGAACCTCTGTTTGAAAACCTCCAAGGAAGGAGAGTTCACCACCAACAAGGGAGTTTGTTCCTCACCCTCTTGAGCAGTAGAATAAAAGCTTGCTCCATCTTCCATGTGACAACCCTTCAGATATTTGAAGGTGGCTGCTGTATTTCCTCTCAGTCTCCTCTTTTCCAGGCTAAACATTCCCATTTCTTTCACTTTGTTCACCTTCTTTCTCCCTTTTTAAGCTAAAAACATGCTCTCCTTCAAAATTCCTGCTCCATGTCTCCATCTTCTTGCCTTACCCTTCCATGGCTCTCTGCATTCACTGGAGAGGAGCACTGAATTTTGAAAGTCACTCCCGCAGCAGGCAGTGATGGTCACCTATTTGGAAGGCTCCACGGAGGACCTCAAGGTCCATAAATAGCAACACCCTAGGTACCTGGCCCCAAGGAAGTCAGATTAGCCTCAACCAGAGCCAGGACCTTTTCAACACGGGCTCCGCGCTGGTGGAATGCTTTGCCTCATGAGACCAGGGCCCTGAGGGATCTGATTTCTTCCCGCAGAGCCTGTAAGACAGACTTGTTCCGCTTGGCCTTTGGCTTGGAATCAACTTGATCCCCTCCCCCTCTTCCTTTTTCCTTTCTCCTTCTGTGATGGAACTCCTATTTGGGGACTTCCCTGGCCCACCCACATAGGACGTCTGGATAGTTGGTCTTGGTGAAGATTTGACGTTTTCGTCCCCAAAAAAGTTTTTGATTTGAGCTTCTACTGAAACGAGGCTGCATTTTAGTGTTGTATTTTGATCTTGTTTTTAAGTTGTATTTTAATCAATTGTTTTTATACCTGGTGTTAGCCACCCTGAGCCCAGTCTTGGCTGGGGAGGGCGGGGTATAAATAAAAATTATTATTATTATTATTATTTATTGAGAGGACTGGTCCAAACTGAAGGAGGATAAGGCCAGCAGTGACTACCCCTGGAAGGACTGCCCCTGGAATGCATTTGCTGGCAGTTGTAAGTGGGGAGAGTTGCTGTTGCCCTCGAGTCCTGATTGCAGGCTTCCCGTTGGGGACATCTGTTGACCACTGGGCTGGGCTCAGTGGGCCTCCTTTGGCCTGGCTCCCCTTACGTTCTTCGTGCTTTTTATTATTATTAAGTTATTCCGTTAATATTCTTTATGGAAAGAATTAGCAAATAAAATAAAATAGAAATAAATAAATTGCAATTATAAAGATACAAAGGAAAAAAGAGGGAAGCGAGGGGGGAAACAAAGATTCATATAATAAAGAAAGAAAATGCAAAGTAATGTACTCCCATACATAAATTGATATAGTGTTATCATCCTAATACCTATACAGTGGTACCTCAGGTTACATACGCTTCAGGTTACAGACTCCGCTAACCCAGAAATAGTACCTCGGGTTAAGAACTTTGCTTCAGGATGAGAACAGAAATTGTGCTCTGGCGGCAGCTGGAGGCCCCATTAGCTAAAGTGGTGCTTCAGGTTAAGAACAGTTTCAGGTTAAGAACGGAACTCCAGAACGAATTAAGTACTTAACCCGAGGTACCACTGTATAGATGTTAATAGCCTGCTACATTCTGTACAAACTCATTCCAAGTGTTGTCATATTGTCAATCCGTTGATTAAAGGTTATCATATCTTTATCCTTCCAGCTCATCAGTATCAGTCTCTTGGGCACCATTAGGGTGTGTAGAATCCCCTTTCCATACAATAGGTACATAATTCAAAAGAATATTCTCTGCTGAAAGATTTAACTTTTTCTGCAGTCAGTTATACGATCCAGCACTTTCTCCCAATACTTGATAAGTCTAGAACACTGCACGTTCTTCATTCTTGCCTGCAGCTCCCAAAACATTCCTTAATCCTGGTAATCTTAAACCTGCCTCTTGAGCCAACAGCTTGTCTTTGTTGCCCAGGCTGGACCGATTTGAGAAAACCAACGAGATGCTGCTCAACTTCAATAACCTGTCTGGTGTCCGCATGCAACAGATGAGCGAGCAGTTCCTGCACCACACCCGGACCTTAGTGGAGATGAAGAAAGATCTGGACAGCATCTTCCGGAGAATCAGGTGAGGCTCGCTAACGACTAGGGCATTCTTCCCATCTTGTCCACGGGGCAGGTAATGCTGTTGTTTAGAATCTGTGGCCTTCCAGATCTTACTAATCTAATAATAATAATAATAATTTATTTATACCCCGCCCATCTGGCTGAGTTTCCCCAGCCACTCTGGGCGGTTCCCAATCAGTGTTAAAAACAGTACAGCGTTACATATTAAAAACTTCCCTGAACAGGGCTGCCTTAAGATGTCTTCTGAATGTCAGGTAATTATTTATCTCTTTGACATCTGATGGGAGGGCGTTCCACAGGGCGGGCGCCACTACTGAGAAGGCCCTCTGTCTGGTTCCCTGTAGCCTCACTTCTCGTAGTGAGGGAACCGCCAGAAGGCCCTCGGCGATGGATCTCAGTGTCCGGGCTGAACGATGGGGGTGGAGACGCTCCTTCAGGTATACTGGACCGAGGCCGTTTAGGGCTTTAAAGGTCAGCACCAACACTTAGAATTGTGCTCGGAAACGTACTGGGAGCCAATGCAGATCTCTCAGAACCGGTGTTATGTGGTCCCGGCGGCCACTCCCAGTCACCAGTCTAGCTGCCGCATTCTGGATTAATTGCAGTTTCCGGGTCACCTTCAAAGGTAGCCCCACGTAGAGCGCAGTAGTCCAAGCGTGAGATAACTAGAGCATGCACCACTCTGGTGAGACAGTTCGTGGGCAGGTAGGGTCTTAGCCTGCATACCAGGTGGAGCTGGTAGACAGCTGCCCTGGACACAGAGTTAACCTGTGCCTCCATGGACAGCTGTGAGTCCAAAATGACTCCCAGGCTGCGCACCTGGTCCTTCAGGGGCACAGTTACCCCATTCAAGACCAGGGAATCCCCCACACCAACCCGCTCCCTGTCCCCCAAAAACAGTACTTCTGTCTTGTCAGGATTCAGCCTCAATCTGTTAGCCGCCATCCATCCTCCAACCGCCTCCAGGCACTCACACAGGACCTTCACCGCCTTCACTGGTTCTGATTTAAAGGACAACTCCCATCATTCCTTGCTATTGGCTACAGCACCAATGGGTGATTGGAGGTGTGGCTCAGTAACACCTGCAATTTTACAGGTTAGCCATCCTTGGTGTCAGACTGTAAGATGTGGGAGATCAGGGTTCAGATCCTGCCTTGGCCACAAGGCTCACTGGGCAGCCTGTTTTTCAGCTGAGCCTTCCTCACAAGTTTTTGGGGGATAAAACAGAGAGGGGGAAGGTCTGGAAATTATTCTCATACACAAACACACCCTTGTGTTTTCGGCTGCTCATTTTTTATTCTACTTTTGTGGCATTAATGATATGCTTTAGTTCAAAGAACCATACAATTGTGGAGTTGGAAGGTACCCAATCATCTAGTCCAACCCCAAACAATAGAGGAATCCTAGCTGAATAATACCTGACAGATTACCATGTTTGTGTCTCATACAGGACGCTGAAAGGGAAGCTCGCGAAACAGTATCCAGAGGCATTTAGTAGTGAGTATTATTATTAATTATCATTATGTTTATATCCCACCTATTCCCCAGAGTGAGACAAGGCAGCTTACACCAGTGACACGAATGCAGAAGGTTAAAAAAGCATAGAAATTAAACTATAAACACTATAGAAACAGACTTTTTAAAATACATATTGTAAAAGTAGCACAGCACTTTTTAAAAGCCATTTCCTTAAAAAAAAACAACCAGTAATACATTTCGCTCTCCAGGCTGTGTGAATGAGCAGTAAAACATCAAATGCAATGCTGTGTAAACAAGTGTAAGGTAGACATATAGAATCATAGAATTGTAGAGTTGGTAGGGACCCCCAGGGGTCATCTAGTCCAATGCAGGAATCTCAGCTCCAGGCCACCCAGCCTCTGCTTACAAAACCTCCAAGGAGAGTCCACAACCTGCTGAGGGAAACCATTCCACCGTCGAACAGTTCTTACTATCAGAAAGTTTTGTTCTGATGTTTAGTCAGAATCTCCTTTCTTGTAACTTGAAGCCATGGGTTCGATTCCTACCCTCCGGAGCAGGAGAAAACAAGCTTCCTCCATCTTCCATGTGACCACTGTCAGGTGCTGGGGTGGTTGCTCGAGAGCAAACGGGCAAGACTCCGACCTGTCTTTTTCAGGCTTTATTCTTAGTGCAAACTACCGTATTTTTCGCTCTATAACACGCACCCGACCATAACACGCACATAGTTTTTCGAGGAGGAAAATCCGTAGGCATGCCACCCGTAGGCATTCCCTCCATAACACGCACAGACATTTTCCCTTACTTTTTAGGAGGAAAAAAGTGAGTGTTATGGTGCAAAAAATACGGTATTTACAGTGAAGAGCGCCGTAAGTTCATGTCTGGCTCAATCGCTAGCAGATTCTGGGAGTGGTTGGTCTTTGTACCTCCCCCAGCATAATATTCGTGTAACTCCCAACCTTCTCCCCTCCCTGCGCCGAAACCTACTGTGCAGCATGGGTGCTGGCAAAGGGGTACTTCCCTCGTCTCCACTTTGCTCAGGCTCGGTGTTGAGGCTCTCCCTAGCATCTCCTGGTCCCTGCACCTCCTCTCCACTGGAGGTGGGGCTTCCCTCCTCGCCGGAGGAGGAACTGCTTAGCAAGATTTTCAGAGGTTCCCTATAACACAACTGCCCTTCCACCTCTCGCCTCTGAGCTGATGGCAGTTCCCTGACAACCGCCCTTAAGATATTTGAAGATGGTTATCATATCTCTTCTCAGTCTCCTCTCTTCCAGGCTAAACATCCCTAGCTCCTTCAACCATTCCTCCTAAGACTTGGTTTCCAGACCCCTGATCATCTTGGTTGCCCTCCTCTGCACATCTTCCAGCTTGTCAATATCCTTGTTAAATTGTGGTGCCCAGAACTGGACACAGCCTGTTTTATTGTCTTTAGAACTCCTGTAAGCCTCTCCTAAAAGTTCACTTTGCACATGTTTCAAAACCCCCAAGCCCAGCGCCGATTCTTTTCCTGTGCACTCAAAACCCTTTTCAGCTGCATTAACTGTAATAATCTTCACAGTGGTCCTATAGGCTAGACCACCTTTCTGTCTTCCACATGCCTAATGCTTCGTTCCGTTGGCGAAGGCGGCATGTGCTTTCTAGCCACTCTCTCTTACCTGTCCCGTCTGTCGGTCTGCCTCATTATCGTTCTGATCCCCAGATATCCACGAATCTCCCATCCTGGAAGACGACGACTTCGACCCGATCCCCAAAAGCACCGCCACCACCATTGCTACCTCAGAGCAGAGCACGGAGTCCTGTGACACCAGCCCGGACATCATCTCCCCTGCCACCAGCCACGACTTTGAGGACCTTTCCCAGGGGCCGTACGACTCGCCGGCGGTGAATGGGCAGAGCATCACAGACGACGACAACGAGACGGACTAGTCTCTGCAGTGAAGCTCTCGCGTGCGGCGAACTGATGCGCCGTCTCGTCCCCTGCTTGCTTCTGGACTTGCAAACTGGCGACCCCCTTCTTTTTTTAAAAAAAGCAAAACAAAACAAAATACCAACCAACCTGTATTTTCCGTGTTGTCTTGGCCAGCTGTTTCTTTGCGTCGGGGAGAGAGGGGCGAGCCTGGGCAAAAGTGGCTTTTCTTGCATGAACCGCCGTCTTCCCCCGCAGTGCTGATCTGTGATTTTTATGCCAAATATGCAAAACGGTGAGCAGCTAGTTCACATTTTTGTGGGGAGGTGGGGAACACACTGCACCGGGGGGGGGGTGTCTGCCCAATTGCACGATTGGGTGTGTTCACTGAGGGCTACCTCCAGCCTCCCCGCCAACAGTATAACCATGCTTAAGACACAGATGAACTTGCATGTGCTCAAAAGATTGTTCTCTAACAGGGATGCTATCAGCCCCAAATGTGCAGATTTCGGGGAATTGGCCAACCGTGTGTCAGCTGTGCGTCCCCGCAACGGCTGCCAGCTGGTTCATTTGCTACCCTGTAAACAGAATAACATGCAAGAAGCACTCGGTTCTATCCAAACTTCTTCGGAGAACTGCTTGAAATGAATCAACAGGAACGTGGGGCCATGAATTTCAAGGGGTCTGCCCCAAGAGGAGCTTTCTCCAATGCAGCCTTCTGCACTGGCTATATACCCTGAATCCACACAAGGACATTTTTTACAGTGGTGGTGGTAGCATTTCTCGTGAGAAGAAACAATTTGGAGTTCATCCCCGACTCCATTTTGCCGGGCACGAGTGTTGATAGCGGAGCTCAGTTCCTCCACCACTCTGGGCGCTCCCAGTTCCTTGAGCCGTGTTTTCCTGCCCTCACTCTGTTCATGCATGGGCCTGTTAGCTGCATTGTGCCCTGCTCCAAAGAAGTGCAGATCTGCTCCCCTCTCCTGGTTCTCTTGCTGACTCAGTGAGGGTTGGAGCACACAGCAGCCTCCATCGCGGCTTCCTCTTAACCCCCCTTTAAAAGTATGTCTCTTCCTGCGCTACTTTTCCCATCGTCCAATGATGCACCTTATATCTGACACAAGAGAGTGTATGTGCTTGCCTTGTTAGTGGCGAAGAAGAGCTGGAAATTTTTTTGCGCCTGGCAACCAAAGCGCCCCTTGGGTTTCAGATTTATAACTGCTATGGTGGCTCATTGACCAGAAGTAATGTCTTTAGCATTAACTCTAGAAGTGTAGGCTCGATTCTGACTCCTGTAGACTCCTGGAGCAAAATATACAACAGGACTCTTAGTTTGGTCAGAATTGAGCGTACACTTCCAGAGTTGACTCTGATTACATTTCTTCTGGTAAATGAGTCACCATAGGTGCTAGAGGGTATGGAAATTTGCGTCCAGGGGTTTTCAGACTTGTCTACCCATGTCCCATCCGAAGCCCAAGGGGCGCGCTGGTTGCCAGGTACAAAATATATTGGCATTAGTTTCAGCTCTCCTAGCCTACTCTGTGCTGCCCATCTTAAGCAGAGGTTGCCCACTGCTTCCACCCCCTTCTTAACATCTGTTATAATCATCCTGTTAGGTACTTTTTCCTAGAGGTATCCAGTGTAAACAGTTAACGCCAGCACAACAGCTTTTACCCGTCCAGTGAAACTTCCCCAACTCCTCTATTTGCCTGCCCGCCCCCCAAATCGAGTGGGTTGGGGGAAACCCCAAAAACAAATTTAGAAGAGGGCAGAAAAGTTAAAAGCTGTTGAGCTACCCTAAGTGTTCAGTTGCATCCCAATACTGGGTTGTGCTCAATATTCGACCTACTCAGCACTGACCCACTGAAATCAGTAGTCACATCCATTGATTTCAGTGGGTCTACTCCTGAGTAGAATTTTGTTGGGTTTAACCCTGATCCCTGCCCCCCCCTTCCATGACACCTTCAGTTACTGTTTTACTGACAAGTGTCTGTGTCTCTAGTGTTCAGTTTTTAAGCGCCCATCCCACACAACGGTCTGTATTATGGTTCCCTTCGCCGGAACTTGGGTAATGGCTAGATTTGTTGAGTAAAGGTTTGGGCAAGCTGCTTCCTTTCTCCACCGTAAATAATAATAAAAATTCCTGAAATGCATTGTAATTCAAAGAATAATATTTTTGTACTGCTACAAGTTTACAGAGATTAATGAGGTAATAACCAATAAAAGAGTTGCATTAATTGATAGATCTGGTGTTTGTGAGCTGTTATTTGTTGGTTTTATTGATTGGCTTTCATGGGGCACGGAAGCTTTTTCAGCCAGGGAGGTCATTTTGGTGCTACTCACGCAGCGATTTGACTTTGCCCCCAGAGGCACACTCCATTGCCTCTTGGGACAGACAACTACAAGATCGCCACAATAATACGGTTTTAGCACAGGGATGAAGGATTTGTGACCCCCTGGCTGTGCTGGCTGTTGCTTGTGGGAATTTGATTTCCAACAATATTTGGAATGGGCTGCAAGTTCCCCATCCCTGGTCTGAGAAGAGAGAGGCATTCCCTCCTGAGAAAACAGAGGCATTCCTTCGATGATATCTGGAGGAATAGCGGCTTTCACCATTCCTCATCTCGAATAGAGGCATCCCTCAATCTCTCACAGGGAATCCTTAGAGCAAGGATGGGAGACGTGTGGTCTTTCAGATGATACCGGGCTTCCAGAAATCATCGTATCTGACCACTGACCATGCTGGCTGCTGGAGCTGAGCTGGGAGTTCAGCCAACATCTTCCCAACCCGCCTTTTAGGAATTAATGGCATCCTTCCGAAAACTAGAACAAGCTTGTGGGAAGTGCCACTTGATGCTTCAAAAACAATAGTACGCATATTCATATGCTTAATACAAAATACAACGATACTGCCATAATTAAAACGATGATAGCATTTTTATTAATAACAACTCAGCCAGAATAATGTGGGAGGTCTGTTCAAATTTTATGATTTTGTGAAGGCGCCTGCTGGATCTCAAGAGGCAGGGAGTTCCAGAGACCCACCCAGATCCATTGGGCCGGGGCTCTCCAGCTGCTTCCAGACCACAACTCCCATCACCCCTTGGCAGCTAGGAATGAGGGGAGTTGTAGTCCCCCCAAAAAAGAGCTTGGGGCGCAAGGTTGGGAAACGCTGTACAGCTCCCATTCCTGACCATTGGGGGCTGAGGGCTTCTGGGAACTGTAGTCCTAAGGGCAAACTCTATGGTTCTCCGCCTCTATTGTTTTGTTCGTCACTTCCGGCAATCAAGGGGCGGCGCCTGGAGCCGGAGGAGGCGTGGCTTTAGTAGGCGAAGATTCCCTCGCGCTCCCTCCTGCGGCCGCGCATGCGCGCGGGGAGGAGGCGTGACGGCCCAAGATGGCGGCTGCCGGCGGCCCCGTGGAGGTGGCGCTGGTGTCGGCGGCCGAGGCGGCCTCGTCGTCCGGAGGCGGCTGCTCGGTGTGGGAAGTGGGCTCCGGGGCGTCGGTGGCCGGATACCGCGGGTTCAGCTGCGCGGCTCGAGGGATGGCGCTGCTGGGCGGGGAGCACCTGCTCGGGGCGCAGCTGGGCAAGGCCTGTGTGGGCGCCTGGGAGCTCCAGAGGAAGGTAGGACCACGGGGGGGGGAGGGGGCTGCGCGTGCGTGCGCATCCTGAAGAAGCCCCGCCCCTGGGAGTGACCCCCTCCATGGGGTTCCCATGGAAACCCCAACTCTAGACATGAAACCCCCCACCAGATTCCCTCTAGACCAGGCATGTCCAAAGTCTGTTTCGGGGGCCTAATCCCCCCCCCCACGTAGCAGTACAGTGGTACCTCGAGTTACAGACGCTTCAGGTTGCATACGCTTCAGGTTACAGACGCCGCTAACCCAGAAATAGTGCTTCAGGTTAAGAACTTTGCTTCAGGATGAGAACAGAAATCGTGCTCCGGCGGCACGGCAGCAGCAGAAGGAGGCCCCCATTAGTTAAAGTGGTGCTTCAGGTTAAGAACAGTTTTCAGGTTAAGTACGGATCTCCGGAACGAATTAAGTACTTAACCCGAGGTACCACTGTATATGTCCTAAAGTAAGCTCATCAGCTTCAATCCTAAAGAAAGTCCAACAACTTTGGGGTAAAATTGTAAAAAAAAATCTCAACAACTATGGTCGGCCCCCACGCATGTTCACATCATCAAAACTGGCCCTCTCTGAAAAAAGTATGGGCACCCCTGCTCTAGACTGAGTCTTGTTTTCCAAAGGATGGACTGACTGTGATGGATTCTCAGTTAAACATCTGGCTAGTTCAGAGGACAACCTTGAGCCAGGTTAAGAGCTTTGAGAACATAAAATAAGGAAAGTCACTTGACCCAGGGTCAATCTATGTATATTTTGACTTATTCTGACCTCTTTTTCTTCATAGTGACATGGACCATTCATAACGTAGGAATATTCTTCTCAACTGAGCAGGGCAGTGGGGGAAGCAAAGACAAGTGACAACCATTCACTATAACGATGTTCACTGCTACTGCTCAGGCGGCACTGACAACACATTTTGATTCCTGAAATTCACCCTTATTGTGCAGATAAAATATAACGGATAGAATTTGACAGGATGGGGTATTAGTGTGTGAAAACATGCAACGATCCCCTGATGGAGGAGATGTCCAGCACCATCATGGCCCCCAGACATCTTCAAGCCAGCTGCTTTTCGGACCTCCAGCTCTCACCTGCTCCAGTATCCAGCATGGCCCATGTTCAGGGATGCTGGGAGTTGTACTTCAATACATTCTGGCTGGGGAGACAAGGCTCTCCTCCACAACAGCCTGAAAAGCTGTGGGAGACCAGCACCCTTCAAAAACATCACCCCCTCCTCATAATAAATAGACCAGGAGAGAAAACTTTTGATAATGATACAGTTTATCTTGGGCTTTGCATGCATTGCATTATAAGGCTTACAACAGCCCTGCAAGGTAGCCCTGTACTGTTAACCCAGCATTGCAGATGGAGGGGAGCTGAGAGAGAATGCAAGAAGAGCCTGCCAAATCAGGCCAAAGGGGGGTCCAGCTAGTCCATCATTCTGGTCTCGCAGTGGCTCTCCCCTCCTGTGGTTTACAGCAGCTGGTATTCAGAAATATTACTGCCTCCGACCAGGAAAGCAGAGATTGGCCATTCTGGCTGGTGCCAGTTTGCCCAGTCTTCTTTTAAAGCCACACAAGTTAATTGTAATCTCCATGCAGAAGTAACACAGAGCATAGCTTGGCTGTGGTTTCTGCTGTGTGCCAGGGCTTTAAACCGTTAGACGCTCAGAACCGGGTAATCTTTCACTCTAGCTGCTGCAGAATTTCCAACTGTCTTTCCACTTGCATTATGTCACTCCAGCTGAAAGATAAAAGCCAAGCCTCTTATGCCTGTCTGGGTTGCAGTTCCTCTCGAGCCCTTCTGTCCTGGATAGCTTGATATCCCTCTCTGCTACAACACAGTTCATTTGCTTTCTTCCCAGCCCTCTTATCATCTTAAGCCTCCTCCCCTCTCAGCTGTGCTCTGCCAGAGTTTTTAAGCATTTCCCCAAATACTGTAATGGATTAGAACTGAAATCCCAACTCACTTTTAAAAAAAGAAGTGTTCAGCCACATCTCCCAGTAGCTTAAACTTCTGACTGGGGTTGCACACAAAGGCATCTTATTTCAGCAATCAAACTCAGATCTAGGTTGTTTTAAGAGTGGCACCTGCTCTGTAGTAAACTGTAACGTGTATGCAGCCCCACACTGGGGAGCAGGCAGGGAGAAGTATCTCTCCCAGTCACACAAGAGACTTCCACCAGATCAAGTCTTCACAGAAACGCTGCAGACCCTTCAAATGAAGCTTGCAGACCACATTTTGCAGGCCCCTGCTCTACTATGTAGGATAGAATCCTAGATAAGTAAAGTTGGAAGGGACCACGAGGATCACCTAGTCCAGGGGTCTGCAACCCGCGGCTCCGGAGCCGCATGTGGCTCTTTTACACCTCTGCCGCGGCTCCGGGGCGGATACTAGCGAGGGGAGGAGGCACATCGTGCGCCCCGACACTCCCCACTGTGGCGGGCGCTGTACTGGCTGTGACGTCGCATGGGGGCGGTGCGTGCATTAGTCACGCACCGTCCCGACGTCACCTTCCCACCCGCTGTCAGATCATGCTTTAAATGTCGCAATGGTTTTGCGGCTCCCAGTTGATTTTTTCTTCGGAAACGGGTCCAAGTGGCTCTTTTTGTCTTAAAGGTTGCAGACCCCTGACCTAGTCCAACCCACTGCAATGCAGGAATCTCTTGCCCAACATGGAGCTCAAAGCCACGACCCTGAGATTAAGAGCCTCATGCTCTACTGACTGAGCTATCCACAAGTGGATACAGTGGTAACTCGGGTTAAGAACTTAATTCGTTCCAGAGGTCCGTTCTTAACCTGAAATTGTTCTTACCCTGAGGTACCACTTTAGCTAATGGGGCCTCCTGCTGCTGTTGCACCGCCACTACAGGATTTCTGTTCTCATCCTGAAGCAAAGTTCTTAACCTGAGGCACTATTTCTGGGTTAGCAGAGTCTGTAACCTGAAGCATCTGTAACCTGAGGTACCACTGTACTCTTTTGGTGCATCCATTTTCAGCATCTGATCAGCTTTCCATTCCAACATTTGTTTTTTTAATTTTTTAATGATTAATCTACTCACTGACATAAGAAGCCTGGTGAATCAGGCCAATGACCCAATTTGTCCAGCATCCAGCATTCTCACTCTATCCAAGGAGATGCCTGTGGAAAACAAGAACATCCACCTGGATAGCTCAGTTGATTAAAGCATGGTGCTGATAATGCCAAGGTTGCAGGTTCAATGGGGCGGCTGCATATTCTTGCATTGCCTGGGGTTGGGCTAGAGGATCCTTGGGGTCCCTTCCAACTCTACAGTCCTGTGATCTTATGAAGTAGGACTTGAGCACAAGAGCCCTCTCCCCTCCTGTGCTTTCCAGCAACTGGTATTCAGAACCATTGCTGCCCCTGACTCTGGAGGCAGAGCATATCATCACAGTGAATAGCCATTGATAGACCTCTCCACCAAGAATTTGTTTATTTGTCCCTTAAAACCAACCAAGTTGGTGGCTGCCCCACCCTCTTGTGGGAGTGAGTTCCACAGTTTAACTATGTGCTGCATTGAAGAAGTACTTTCTCTTATCTGTCCTGAATCTTCCCATGTTTTTATTGTGGTATTAGGGTGTGTGTGTTTTTATTGTGGTACACTGCCCAGAGATTGATGTGTGGGGCAATACAGAAACATTTTAATAAGTGACAAATAAATAATACTCTTTCCCTCCTCTGCCCCTGTTTGTCCCCAGGATCAGCTCCAGCAGAAGATAATCTGCCCAGGCTTGGTGTCTTGCCTGGCTGCAGCTCCCAATGGTCTCTACATCCTGGCAGGTATCGCCGAAAGCATCTACCTCTGGGAGGTAAGGAAGGTGGCAAAAGTGGGTGGGTGATCTCTCTTGGCCACTCGGGGGTGGGTGGGTGGGAGGAACTGGTGGCCTTCAGCAGGATTGGAGAACCTCATAAGAACCCAAGGAGAGCCTGTGGAATCTGGCCAATGGCCCATCTGGTCCTATATCCTGTCCTCACAGTGGCTACCCAGGTGGCAGCAGGAAAACCCACAAGTGGAACCAGGTCACAAAAGCACTCTCCCCTTAGTTCAGATGGCAACCTTGAGCCAGGTTAAGAGCTTTGTGAACTTAAAAGAAGGAAAGTCACTTGATCCAGGGACAGTCCGCATATATACTGGCCTATTCCGAACTCACTTTCTTAATGGTGACTCAGACCATTGATAACGTAGGAGCAGGATGGGGGGCGGGGTGGGGAGCAAAGGCAAGCAGCAACAATTCACTATAACGCTGTTCACCACTCCTGCTCAGACTGCACAGAAAAAGCATGTTGGTTCCTGAAATTCATTCTGATTGTGCAGACAAAATACAGTGGATAGAATTCTACAGGATGGGGTGTTAGTGTGTGAAAACAGTCCAGGTCCAAGGATCTCCAGGCAGGCACCTTCAGATGGTGGAGACGTCAGGTGCCATCCTGGCACCCATGCATCTTCACTTGGTCACAAGTGGTCGATATCCAGCTGCAAAATGTGCCTGATGCCTGGCTTATTTTGGGTTTTAAGTCATGAGTTTTCCCCAACCCTACCTGGGGATGTCAGGGATTGATCCCGGGACCTTCTGCATGCTTGGTCCTTAATGCTTCAGCCCTTGTAGAAGCCACTTCAGTATAGAATCATAGAATGGTAGAGTTGGAAGGGACCCCAGGGGTCATCTAGTCCAGCCCCCTACAGTGCAGGAACATCAGTGCAAGCATCCATGACAGATGGCCATCCTACCTCTGCTTAAAAACCTCCAGTAGGGAGGTCACTTTACAGATACAGAGCCACTAGCGAAGAGGCAGAACGCAGCAGTGGGAGATGGGCTGCTGTATTCCCTCCCCCTCAATCCAAACAGCAAACTAGGTGCAGGCAGAGGGCCTTCTTGGTAGTGGCACCCACCCTGTGGAATGACCTCCCATCAGATGTCAAGGAGAGGAGTAACTAGATAACCTTTAGAAGGCATCTGAAGGCAGCCCTGTATCGGGAAACTTTTTAACGTGTAGTATTATGTTTTTGTATATGTTGGATGCCACCTAGAGTAGCTGGGGCATCCCAATCCAATGGTTGGGGTGCAAATAATAAAATTAATATTATAAGCTGTTCAAGTTTTGCCACCATACCTGAAAGAAAAGATACAGTGGTACCTCGGGTTACATACGCTTCAGGTTACATACGCTTAAGGTTACAGACTCCGCTAACCCAGAAATAGTGCTTCAGTTTAAGAACTTTGCTTCAGGATAAGAACAGAAATCTTGCTCCGGGGGCGCGGCAGCAGCAGGAGGCCCCATTAGCTAAAGTGGTGCTTCAGGTTAAGAACAGTTTCAGGTTAAGAACGGACCTCCGGAACGAATTAAGTACTTAACCCGAGGTACCACTGTATTTGGAAGCGTTATTGATGTGCAGAATGAGACCTTGCCACAAGGGGGCAGGAGCTGACTTTGTCTCCTCACCTGTCCATGATGCTAATCCTGTTTCCTAGGCAAGGAGTAAGGCTGGGAAAGTGAGTTCTTCAATCTGGCCCAAATCAGTTAGCTTTCTTCCTTTTCCTGCTGCCATTTTAAAGATCTCCAGCCAGGTGTCATGCAAGAAGAGACCATCAGGAGGGCCCTTGGGCTGGGTCAGTCCAAGGGAGCGCCCCCCCCCCCCGGTCCAGTGCCAAAGGGAAGCCCACAAGCAGGTCTTGAATGCAGCAGGATCTCTTCCCTCCTGCAAGAAACTGGCGTTCAGAGGCATTTACTACCTCTAACAGCAGACCTAGATGATGATGATGAATAAATAAATTAGTATACCTCCCTATACCTGCAGGTCTCAGGGTCGTTCACATTATAAAATCACAATGTAAAATATAGCCGTTGTGGCAAGTGGCCAATGATAGCCACTTCTGTGAGTTTGTCTAATCCTCTTCTAAAGCAGTCGTAGAATCGATGACCATCACACCCTCTTACAGGAGCGAATTCCACAGTTTAAAAATGCACCGTGCCAAGAAGTCCTTCCTTTTGCCTGAACCTCCCCGTGTAATTAATTGTTTTATTTATTTAGAGCAGCTTTAGTCTCCCAGAGCAGCTTGCATACAGTCAAAATGAAACAGTCCTTCCCTACACACTTACAATCTCAAAGAAAACACGATACACAAGGGAAAAGGGACTGGGAGGGAAGAGGAAAACAGAAACTCAGACACCAGTTTCTAAAGAGTTGTTCCTGTAACGATCAGCTGGCACAGTTCAGGAGCAGGAGGTGCCTGTTGGAGCTGGGCTTCCAGCAAAGCTGATGCAGGGAGCCCTGCTTCCTATCTTTCCCACTGAGGCTGCCCCCAGATGAGGGTTGAGGGGAGAGGAGACCCAGTGGAGCTGGCCTGTCACAGCAGATCTGATGCAGGGAGCTCTTCTTCCTACAGTTGCCATTGAAATTATTCAACCCCCATTGCAAATCAGGTTTACAGTCATACCTCGGGTTGAAGTAGCTTTGGGATAAGTATTTTCAGGTTGCGCGCTGTGGCGACCCGGAAGTAACGGAGCGCGTTACTTCCAGGTTTCGCCACTCGCGCATGCGCAGACTGTCAAAATGGCGTCATGCACAGAAGCGGTGAATCGCGGCACGCCGGACGTGGGTTGCGTTCGCTTCTGGAACGGGGCTCCGGAACGGATCCCATTTGCATCCAGAGGTACCACTGTATTATCAAAATTTACAGACTTTTAGCTGTTTCCATTGAACATATCAAACAAAAGCAATTTAAATAGCTCAACAGAATGGATGCTTTGAGTGGTTTCCCCAAATTCAGCTGAAAATGCAACTTATACTGGCTTCTCCAGTCTCTTAATAGTAATAATAAAGAGGCTGAGGGGACATGGAGAGGGGGCCTGATGGAGCTGGCCTGTCACAGCAGAGCCAACAGAGGGAGCTGTGCTTCCAACATTCAGCTTCATCCTACGGCCCCGAGTTCTGGCATTACGAGAGAGGGAGAAGAAGCGGAAAGTAGCCGCACTAGGTAGAGCACATATAGCCTGAGCAGGTATCTGGCAGCATACCCAGTTCTCCTGGCTGCCCGCCAGCGCTGCTCCCAAAAATACAACCTTCGGGTCCTTATGCTCCACTTAGCTGCAGATTCTTCTCCTTCCTTGCCTCACAACCCAGTATCCTGTCCCTGCCCCAATTTCTTCTGCACGTTTGAGCAAGGTGGTGAGGAGCAGGATGAATATTGCAAAAGATGAGCCTTGTGGAACTGCTGACGGCGTCTCTTTCCCCCCTTAAAACTTTCTCCTCTTGAAGTTGTCCGCAGCAGCCCAAGACGCTTGCTTGCAGCAACCCTTCACCCCGGGGTGAAGGAAGCGAAAGGACACCCAGCCATCAAGCCCAGAAGGTGTCACATTTATGTCTTTTGGTGGCGGCGGGGAGGGAAAGTGGTGGGTGGCTTGACAGCAATATTGGCAGCGCTGTAAAATAATTAGATCCATCTTGGACAGTTTAAAGCCGTAATGGAATCAAATTTGAGTTTCCTTTTTTGGTGACTTCAAATACATAAGAAGAGCTTGCTTGCTGGATCAGGCCAGTGTCACATCTAGACCAACATCCTGTTCTCACAGTGGCCAAACAGAAGCCTCAGTGGGGAAACCTGCAAGCTGGATGCAAGTGCAAGAGCCCTTTGCCCTCTTTCAGTTTCCAGCAACTGGGATTCAGATGCATTGCTGACTCCAACTGCGAAGGCAGAGCCATCATGGCTAGGAGCCACTGATAGCCTTCCCCTCCACCTTCAATTTGCCAAGTTCAAGTTATAGGCTGGGCGATACCTGGTTTTGAACATCGCTATTTATAACCGGATAATATCACAATAAGGGACGCGGGTGGCGCTGTGGGTTAAACCACAGAGCCTAGGACTTGCCGATCAGAAGGTTGGCAATTCGAATCTTCGGGACAGAGTGAGCTCCCGTTGCTCTGTCCCTGCTCCTGCCAACCTAGCAGTTCGAAAGCACATCAAAGTGCAAGTAGATAAATAGGTACCACTCCGGTGGGAAGGTAAACGGCGTTTCCGTGCACTGCTCTGGTTTGCCAGAAGCGGCTTAGTCATGCTGGCCACATAACCCGGAAGCTGTACGCCAGCTCTCTCGGCCGATAAAGCAAGATGAGTGCCGCAACCCCAGAGTCGTCCACGGCTGGACCTAATGGTCAGGGGTCCCTTTACCTCTTCAATATCACAATGTCTGAAATAAGGATGTAGCTATGCAGAGGCACTGGCTGGCTTCACACTTTCCCCTGCATTGAGATTTTTGTATCTCTCTATTACACACACACACACACACACACACACACACACAGATTCACCATAAATTGCCCGGTCAAAAATTATGAAACCAATATCATGTTATGGACTTCAAAATGGCTTTGGATGACATATTGCCCAGCCCTAACACATCATGATTCGTGATTTATTGCCTGGTCAAAAACTATGAAATTGGTATCATGATATGGACTTCAAAATGGTTTTGGGCAATATGTTGATATATCGCCCTGCCCTCACCCAAGTTGGTGGTCAGCACTGCTTTCTGTGGGAGGGGATTCCATACTCTGTGCTGCGTGAAGAAGTCGTTTCTTTTATCTTTAGACAAACTTTGCTGGTGGGGATGTGGACGCAAGGAGCCTGTCTGCCTTTCTCCTTCCACACTCCCAACCTGCTGCTGCACTCCCTTTTTCCTCCGTGGCCAGCCGGATGCTTCTGTGCAAGCAGGGCCCAGGGGCAGCCAGTGACCCTTCACCTGCTGCCGGCACCCCGGCAACCATGATCTGCGGCCTACCGTCTCTGAAATCCTCCACGTTCCTCAGAACCGCCTCCGTCAGCAGCTCTTCCACCCGGCTGCATCAGAGCAGGGAAGCATGGCAGCCCCCTCCTCTTCCATGAGTTGTAACAAGTCTGGATCAGCTCCTCCTTCTCACCTCTACCTCCGTCAGCAGAGCCTTTCCACCTGGCTGGCAAGATATCAAAACGCCCCCTGGCTTCTCCAGCCTGGCTAAGACCATCTGCCAGTGAGCCCCTCCCAGAACAGCCTGGCATCAACTGACTCGTCTGCTTGGTGTGTCAATATCAGGAGATGCTGATAATCAGCCTGGCTAGGACTGACGGCTGTTTATTTTATATATATATTTAACATTTATTTTGTTTTGAGCATTTGTACCCCAAAATGCTCCCAGAGTGGCTTTCATACAGTACAGCCCCTGGTGCTTGCAGGCTTACAGTCTACAATGGCACAGCACACAAGGGGAAAGGAATGGGGAGGGAAGAGGAAAATCCAAACTTAGGCACTGGTTCTTCCTGTCTCTCTCCCTCTGAAGTAGTCTAGTGGAACTGCTTCCCCCCAGGTGACCATTGAGAGGATAGGCAATGGCACGAGGCTTTCTTCCTGAGGAGCTCAAGAGAGCATACCTGGTACTCTGCCTCCTGCCATTTCTTCCTTGTCACAATCCTGCAAGGTGGCGTTAGTCTGAGGAACGGAAACTGGCTCGCAAGGTTACACCCAGTGAGCTTCAAGGCTGAGTGTGGAAATATTTGCACCCTGGTAGCCTAGGGCGAGCAGCAGTGTCTATGCAGGTGAGCAATTGGGCAGCTGGAGGGAGGAATAATTAATAATTTTATTACTTACACCCCATCCACTCTAGGCAGCTTCCAACACATATAGAAACATAAAAAATAGATCTCAGGCCCTCCTCTTGGTTCCTGAGATGAAGTGCTCACAAGCTCTATACAGAACTCCTTCCTTGAACTCCCAGGAATCAAATCTTGTGTTTCTGTTTTTCTGTAACCTTATTTTCCAGCCTTATAGTTACTGTGCTGTCTATCCGGCTTTGAATTCAAACAGGGGTGCAGAAAGGTTCAGGGCAGACAAGTCGCCCTCCCCATGGCACACCAGAAACCCTACGCCATGTCCAGCAAAATACATTTCTTTTAAAGATTTCAGGTGTGGCTTTAAACTCAAACCCTCCACAGGGTAGCTTCCCTTAAGACACAGACCAGGATTCAATTTTTTTAAAAATCAAATCAAAAAGTGGAAACAGCAGTCAAAAGGCCAGCACCACATCTGTGTTTAACTTAACCACATTGCAAGGAATCAAAAACCGAGGATTTGAACCCAGCAACAATACAGAGCTTAAAAGTTCGGCCTCTTAGTTAAAGGCAGCTGGAGATAAATGACTTTCTCCAGCCCTGCTTTTGAGAAGCTGCCAGTGGAAGGGGGTCAGACAGGTATCCCTTGGGTGCTGGTTCTGGAAGAGGAGAGCGGCCTTGGCATCGCTCCCACCAGATCAGCAGCTCAAGCGATACTCCCAGAGGGCTGATAACTGTCCGCTTATTGTAATGCAAATCATTCCGCGATGCGGCTAATAATACGCCAGGCGGCTGTGGCTTGTGGCTTCCTTACAGGTTCACCCAAGCATCAGCCCCGAGGCTACGAGGCTCCTGTCTCTGTCTTGGTCTTGACGCCTCCTGCCTTGTCACTGTGTCATCAGGACAGGAGGATATAGAGGTAGACAACTGGGCTGCAGCCTTGAATACGCGTGCCTGGGAATAACATGCGGGGCACCTGCTTTGCATGCAGAAAGACCCAGGTTCGTTCCCATGGGGCATCTCCAGGTAGCGCTGCAGAAGACTCCCTGCCTGAAGACCTGCAGAGCCTCCAATATTAAGCTAGATGGACGGTTTCATTTCACTTTTTGTATACCGCTTTTCTGTACACAGGGCGGTTTATGAGCTGAAGGGACAACAAAATAGACAGCAAAGATCGCACAGATTCTAATAAGAATCTGATCCAAGACAAAAAGAAGCCATAAGAAACAAGTTCTGTCAAATAAAGCAATATTCAGTAATCCATTAGAATATAATAGTAAGCAGTAAAATTAAAATAGCAAATAATCATAGCATCGTAGGGATTCGTCATTAGTCCAGCCCCCTGCAATGCAGAAATATGCAGCTGTCCCATACAGGGATCAAAACTGCGACCTTGGCGTTATCATAATCAGTTGAACTATCTAGGCTTTAAGGAGTTTGCAATAAAGAATTACTCAACTATAATCAATATACCGGTAAATAATGGCAAGTCACAATGCATAAAACAAAACATACAAAGGCATGTAAAACAAGGGCACACAATGTATAAAATTGGTTTAAATATAGGAACTCCTCTCTGCCCAGATGCTTCTACTGTTCTCAAAGTCATGTTCTGGGAAAGGCTCCCAGGGCTGGAGGGTGGGTCAAAGCCATTTCCTGGTGGCCGACACAAAGTCTCTCTTCCCTTGCAGTCTTTCATCTGGAAATGCCTTTCTTATGATCTGGGCCAGCAGCCTGACTCAGCATTCCTAGGTTTCCTGTTTAAATCAGTCCTTTGAATGTCAGTCTAGTCATGAGGACTAGAATCATTTAACATTTTGCCTCTTCCTGCTTTTGTGCCTAGCTTAGCTGTTGAGCATCTCCAGGTAGGGCTTGGAATATCATACACACACAAGCCCCAGCCTGAAACCCCAGAGATTCACTGTAGATCATCCTGAGCATGAAGGTCTGACGATGTAATTTGGTATAGCTTCGTGGGTTCCTATCTAAATCAGAACAATGAGGACCAGAATCCTATTGTTTCAAAAGTCAGGTGCCACCCCCACCCGCTGTAAGACTCTGGGAGTTCCAGGCACCCACCCAGGGTCTGTGGTCCTTTGGAGAATTGAGGCATGGCGGAGACTGACATAGCTTTAAGAAATATGGTTTACTCCCCTATTTACAGCTTCAGTCTGACTGGAGGGCGTCCAGATCTTACAGCATGATCATTTCAAGAGGGGCTAGTGCAGCCCTGGACTCCAAGGCATCTCTCCCAGCCAGCCTTCAGTCAGCCTGCCCAAGATGGATCCCATCCTTCTCTCCCTTTCTTCTTCCCAGCACACCTTGCTAAGAAACCCTCTCTTTTCCTGCCACTTCACACCCAGTTACCCTGCAGCCTTCCAGACCCCCAGTCTCAGGGCAAGGAGGGAGGACAGCTATCTTCAATGGCCCTCTATTGTTCCTAAGTGGCCCCCGCTTGGCCAGGTCCTTTTGCGTAGGCTAGCCCAGGAATTCCTCTGCAGCTTGTATTTCTCCTTTTACATCCCAAATAATAAAAGCCCTACCATTTATTAATTTCTAGAGTTTAGGGGAAGGACTTTAACTCAGCAGAGGTGTGACTGCTTTGCAAGCAGAAGGTCCCAGGGTCTTTCCCCACTGGGCTGTGAAAGACCCCTGAGTCTGAAACTCTGGAGAACCGCTGCCAGCCAGTGCTGACACTGCCAGCTAGGTGAACCAGCATCTGATCCTCTAAAAAGCCCGTTTCCTGCGTTCCTATGAAATGAGCCTTCACACAGGCTTGCTTTCTTTTTAGAGGAAGGGGCATAGCTCGGCAGCAGAGTACCTGCTATTCCCATTCAGAAGGTCCCAGGCTTACTCCTCAGTGCTGTATCCAGGCAGAGCTGGGATATCCCCCACCTGCACCCCAGGAGAGGCATTTTGAATCACTGTAGATCAGGGTTTCCCAAACTCTGGACTCCAGCTGTTTTTGGACTACAACTCCCACCATCCCGAGCTAGCAGGACCAGTGGTGAGGGATGATGGAAATTATAGCCAAAAAACAGCTGGAAACCCAGCTTTGGGAAACTCTGCTAGTCCTGAGCTTGCAGGTGGTCTTGCTAGGGAAATACTGGGGTACAATATCTATCTAGTGTCAGAAGTGGGTATTGTTGAACTCTGATATTTCATTTAGAGTCACCCTTGGTAAATCAGGTCCAGGGTGTCATTTGATTCCTAATCTCTCCTGATTTCTTCTCTTCCCCACCTCCCAAATACGTTGGGGTCGCTCCCGCAGGTGTCTAGTGGGAACCTGCTTGCCATTCTGAACCGACACTACCAGGATCTTTCCTGCGTGGCCTTCACAGACGACAGCAGCCACTTCCTCTCCGGAGCGAAGGACAGCCTTGTGATAGTGTGGAACCTGTACAGGTAAGAGATGGACAAGCTGGAAGGTGCGCCGAGGAGGGCGACTGAGATGATCCTGAGTCTGGAAGCAAAGCCTGATGAGGAACTGTTGAAGGAGCTTGGTATGTTTAGCCTGAGAAGGAGGGGAGTGAGAGACCATAGAATGGTGGAGTTGGAAGGAACCCCAAGGGTCATCTAGTCCAACCCCCTGCAATGCAGGAATCTCAGCTCAAACATCCATGACAGATGGCCCTCCAACCTTTGCTTTAAAACCTCCAAGGAAGGAGAGTCCACAACCTCCCGAGGGAGACCGTTCCACTGTCGAACAGCTCTTAGTGTCATAAAGTTCTTCCTGATGTTGAGTCAGAATTTCCTTTCTTGTAACCTGAAGCCATGGGTTCGAGTCCTACCTTCCAGAGCAGGAGAAAACAAGCTTGTTCCCTCTTCCACGGGACAGCCTTTGCTTGAGATATTGCTCTCAGTCCCCTCTTTTCGAGGCTCAGCATTCCCAGCTCCTTCAACCGTTCCTCCTAAGGCTGTGGGGATCTGATACAATAGCCATCTTCCAACTCTACGATTCTATGATCCATCTTGTTATTGTATTTTAGTGTTTTGTTGGAAGCTGCCCAGAGTGGATGGGGAAACCCAGCCAGATGGGCAGGGTATAAAAAAATTATTATTATTATTATTATTATTATTATTATTATTATTATTATTATTATTAAGTTCAGTGTTGCATACACAAACTGGCAGCAGCTCTCCAAGGTTGCTTTCCTTCTCCTTTTATATCCCTTCTAACCTAGAGGTTGGACTAGTTGACCCTTGGGCTCCCTCCCCGCTCTGTGATCAGACGATTCTAAGAGGCAAAAGTCTTTGACAACCTCGCTTGTTCCGTTTGCAGAGGTTTCCTATTCCGCAACCTTTTGGCTCACTCGTGTCTGTCTCTGGCTGAGTCTCTTCTTAAAACAGAGGCTCGTTTTCCGAAGCTTCCCACCATGGCTGGCTTTGACGCAGCCCCAGAGCCACGGCAGGCAGTTTCTGGGGCAGGGTTGTGGGATGATGGCGTTCGAGCCCGTTGCACAGACCAGTAATTGATCAAAAGGAGGCAAGGGTGGAACAGCAACTCGTGCAGGGACCCTGCGGGCAGCCTCCTCCTCCTGAAACAATTTAGGTTTTGTAGCACAGGAGCTGCCAGGATGCCATTGCAAGCAGGCACACAATTCCCATTAACCAGGCTGCTTTGGGCCCCCTTTGACAGAAATAATGGTACGATGGAAGCCTCTGCCTCGCCCCCCCAAACTTTGCACACTATGCCAGCCTTGTTTGCTGGCTCCCTCCCCACCGAAGCAGCAGTTGGCATGGAGGTGCCAGCACGTCCCTGACCCCCTGGGCCAGCAGAACTTTTGACAGGCGGCATCTCTTCCTTAATAGCTTTGGCCATTGAGGCCGCAAGGACAGCCAGCCGGAGGGGAGGCTCCCATGGTTGGATCCTGCAGCCGCTGTTCCCAGCCTCCTTTGCTCTCCACTGTTTGTCGACCGCCATCCAATGGCAGAGGGTGCTCTGAGGACAGGTGCCGCCCCCCCTTCTCACAGCCCTTAACCTCTTCAGTTTCAGGAGCTACAAAACATCATCATGTTGGGGAAGGGGCCGCGTTGTCTTCCAGGCAGCACTCTGGGGGCCGGAGGCGAAAGTGGGTGGGGCAGCGGCGAAAAGAAAGAAAGAAAAAGTGGATGTGAATGAAAAAGGAAAAATATACATTACCATACCTTAATATACAGCTGCGTATATTCTTATTATCCTAATGCACGCTTAATTGTCAAAAACCTAATAAATTCTGTGCAAGCTACTTCCAAATATCATTGTATTTATGCAAAGAAAGTCTGCGTCTATAAGCTGTTCTTATGTTGTCAAGCCATTGATTAGGGGGAATCATACCTCCATTATTCCAATTCATCAGTATCAATCCCTTGGCCAACATTAGGGCACGTAGAATCTGTTTTCGCTGTCCTGTTGTCAGTTTCCATACAATGGATTCAAGAGCATATTCACCTCTGAAAATCTTGAGTTTTTCCGTAGTGTATTTGTAATACGTATGGGGTTGCTTGTGCGTAAACTGCCGCCTCTCCAGGCTAAATTGCCTTGTTAAACCTTTCTGACTGGACAGCCCTTCTCTCCGTGGCTGCCTCAGTCGCTGGCAGAATCCGTCAGTGGGCGTTTCTTAAACCTCTTCCAACACAAAAGTTGTTTGACGCCCAGTCTCCTCCTCCTCTCACTGCACGGAAGTCTTCTGCGCAGATAGGGCGTAGGTAGCGGAGGACCTGTGCTCTCCCCGCTGGTGTCCAGTGAAGAGTCCTGGAGCCCTCTCGCCGATTCCCCCATCTGCCCCCCTTTATCCCTGGTGTTGTGCTGATTTGCTTCCCCCTCTACTGAGCTGCCTCTCTCCCTGCTGGGCCCTTCTCCAGCATCATCTGAGAGCCTTCTCTTCGCCTCTAGCTCCGATGTCAGTTCCCTGACAGTATTGTTTATATAGTCCAGCACTTTCTCCCAAAACTTAGTCAGTGTGCGACATAGCAGAAGCATGTGTTTCAAAGAAGCATTGTCCGTATTACATCTCCAACAAAGAGATACATTAGATATAGAAACATCAGGGAGTCCAGATTATAAGAAAATCAATACTGTCTCCCATGAAAAGCTTGAGGAGAGCCAACTCCAGACACCCCATTGCTTTTATTTGGACAAATGCATCCGGAACTGAGCCACGTTCCCTCACACCCACCATGCGCGTTTCCTGGGCCCCCCACTTTCTTTGCCCCGCTTGCTGTATGCTGAGGCCTCTTCCTTCCCCCCTTTCCCCAGCGTGCTGCAGGCCGAGAACGCCCAGAGCCCGGAGCCCCGCCATGTGTGGTCGAGACACAGCCTTCCCATCACGGACCTCTGCTGCGGCATGGGCGGTCCCATGGCCCGTGCCGCCACAGCCTCCCTAGATCAGACGGCCAAGGTAAGGGCGGCCAGCAGGCCAGGGGAGCGGAGTGCTGCTCCTTAGGTAACAGGGACTGGTTGCACAGGGAGGAGTGGTGGGAGGTGCCAGCCAGGGAACCCTCAAGGGAAATCCTGGAGGAGGAAAGCTCAGGGAATGGTGGTGGGACACCGAGGAGGGGGAAGATTAGGAGGTGGTGTTGGATACTGAAAAGGCAACAGGGTTTCGTGAGCAGGAGGAGTCTGTGACAGGGAGCAGTTCAGACTCCCAGCTGCAGCAGAGGAGGGGAGTCAAGAAGCTGCAGAAGAACCAGGAGTCTCCCTCTCTGGCTGCAACAAGCTCTCTCCAAGAACACGCAGAATAACACGGAAGGCAAAACAGAGGCTAGAGGTGTGCAGACACAGCTTGAGACTGCTTGGGAAACATCTGGGAGAGGAGGAGCCTTAAGGTGGGAGGCAGGGACCTTCAGTCCTGGCAACAGCTCCATAGGGGCAAGACCACCTGGGAAGAGTTGCTAAGTTGTATGCCGTTTCCTTGAATAATACGTTAAATTCACTGACCATGGAGCCCTACGCCTTTCATGCTCACCTGCATCTGACTCCAGCCCTGACAGCAGGGCAGAATTGTCACAAGGAAGCCCTGCGGCAGCTGGATCAAGCCCCTCTAGTCCAGCGTCTTTCCCCCAGTGGCCAGCCAGATGGCCCAATGGGAAGCCCCAATGTTAGAAATTAGCCAGGTGCGTTTTGTGACTTGCATGGGTCCAATTGCAACCACACGGAGATCCCTGGATGCCAGTTTGGCAACTGACATCTGTCCCTGGCTGGCCCCTCCAGCTTTCTCCAGCAAGTCAGCAGAAGAGCTTATTTATTGCATTCATCCCCCCCCCCTTTTTATCCAAGGAGTCCATTGTTCACCACCACCCCTTCTCAGTTAACCCCTACAACAACCCTGTGGGGTAGGTTAAGAGGCTGTGACTGACTCACAGGGTCATCCAGCGAGCTCCATGACTGAGTGGGGATTTGAACCCTGATCTCCCAGGTCCTAATCCAACACCCTTAACCACTTATTGTTGTTTTAGTCGTTTAGTCGTGTCCGACTCTTCGTGACCCCACGGACCAGAGCACGCCAGGCACTCCTGTCTTCCACTGCCTCCCGCAGTTTGGTCAGACTCATGTTTGTGGCTTCGAGAACACTACTGACTCTCTAATTGGGCATTAAACTCCCACCTCCAAAATGATTCAGGGCAGGCTGTGGGGCAGGTGGTTCTCAGGTTGTGGGGTGCTGTACACAGCCTCATACACACACACACAAAAACATGCACACAACTACATTTTGTACAGATGCAAACGGGAGCAGCAAGAAAATGTAGTATGGAGCGCTTGGTATTCTTCCGTTTTCAGGGAGTTTTTTCTATAAAGATTTGTGTGTGTGCTTGTGTGTCTATATGTCTTCGAACATTAGGGCTTCCTCCAGGACTGCTGACACCTCCCTCCTGTGTGTTTTGCCTGCATCAGCTGTAATAATTCATATACTGGCGACATCATTCTTTGCTACACATCTCTTGTGGCCTGAACATTATTCAGCCAAGTCAGCCCAAAAGTTCACGGCGACGGCCATCAGTGGGCCTGTGACAGCCACAGTGTCTCAGCGTCGCTGGTTCGTTGTGGGGATTATATGGGGAACGGGAGAACCAGGCACGCCACCTTGGGATCCTTGGAAAGAGAGGAGGGACAGAATTGCAGCAAATAAATAACAGATTCCTTTAAAATTAAACATACTGGGGAGCACGGGATCCTGCAGGGGACCCCTGCGGCTTCCCCTCCTGCCTGCCACCTGCCCCTCCTCAGAGAGATGGGAGTTGGAGCCCAGCAACTGTTGCGGGGGCCACAGATCTTCTCCATCCCTGATCTGATCTCTCAGGAGGGAATGCCTCTTCTAGATAAAGGCTTCCCGCCATCTGTCATAGGGTCAGGAATGATGGGACAACAAATGTTACCCCGTCCCCTGGTTTTATCTCATGCTCAATTGCAAGAGTTTGCCCATCCATTCCCAAGCCCCTCTGCCATGTTCCACTGCCGTTCCGTCTTGAGCTGCAGGAATTCCTGGCCCACCTTTCTACACCCTTGGTCCTAAATAAATCCATAGAATTGTAGAGTTGGAAGGGGCCACAAGGGTCATCTAGCCCAACCCCCTGCAACGCAGGAGTGTTTTGCCCAACGTGGGGTTCGAACCCACGACACTGAGATTAAGGGGTCTCGTGTTGTACCAGTTGAGCTATCTGTATGCTTCCTCTTCTCCTCTCTTCCAGCTTTGGGAGATCTCCTCTGGCGACCTCCTCCTCTCCGTCGTCTTCGACGTGGGCATCCTGTCGGTGACCCTTGACCTCACGGAATACCACATGTTCTGTGGGGGCATGGACGGCTCCATCTTCCAAGTCGACCTCTGCGCCTGGGTAGGTCCGATTCCACACATGGCATTTTATGCATTGTGACTTTGCAGTTGTTTTTATTGATCATAGTTTAGTAATTATTTATTGTAACTGTTAAGAGCAAATTTCTGTTTAATAATTATAGGCTGATGTCTTGAGTGTTAATGTTATTGTGCACTATTTATTATGCTCTAATACATTACTGAATGTTACTTTATTCAAAATAGGTCGTTCCGTTTTAAAGTTATGTTTTATTACTATTTTCTGTATTGGACCAGATTAATATAAGGTGTGGGTTTTGTGTGTGTGTGTGTGTGTGTTGCTATAGACCGCCTTGTGCACTGTAATATGGAAAGGCGGTATACAAATTAAAAGTGAAATGTAGCACTTAACAAAGGAACCCGCCTGCATTACATACTGAACCAAAGTATGTATGTTCTGTGTTGCTTCATACTGTCAACACTGACTGGCAGCAGCTCTCCTGGGCAGGCAGGTGTTTCTCCCAGCCCTACCTTGAAGTGCCACTGAGCTACATGGGAGGTCAGGTGTTGGGCAGGTTAAGACACCACGGGGCCTAAGAGATTTTGTTTGTTTTATATTATTTATTGAAAAACAAAATGTACAAAATTACAAGTGCACTGAGTAAGACACACAAAAGAGAGAAGAAACAAATAGTGCCAATGTAGAAAACAAAATGGGGGAAATATTGTGTACATTAAAAAAAAAAAAGCTGGGGAAATTTTGATACTGTACTTAACGAGACCTTAACCTTACAGGTATTTATAAAAATGAATTCCAAATATCGTTGAATTTGTCCATGGCAAGTCTACATTTGTACACAACTTCTTCATGTGTAGCAAAGTCGAGCTGCATTGTTATTTTTCCAGTTCATCAATACCAGTCTTTTTGCCACAGTAAGGGTGCGGAGAGTCCACTCTTAGTGTTCTTTAGTGATGTTCAGTGATTGACAGGTGGGTGGGTCTGCCCACCTGCCAGTCACTGAACATCACTAAAAAACACTTGTCTAATGCTGGGGCGGGTTGGAGATTTGCCACCTCTGGAGCAGATAAATCTGGGCTATTTTTTGAGAAAAAGAGGAGCTGGAACTGACCACCAACGCCTCCCTTGTTCTCTTAGAATGGCCATGGCGCCCACCTGAGAGGGGCCGGAACTGAGTTCCTGGCTGCGTGAACCAGCAGCCCCACCCAAGTACCTAAGGCAGCTTCCTGGTTCCCACCTACCCACTTTTCCTGGCAGTGCTTCAAAATATAGTTTGTAACTTCCCCCTCCTCTTTCTCTCAGCCCGTGCAAAGGGAGAGGGGCTTCCAGACAGAAAGAGAGGCTGCCAAGATCTTCAAAGGGCATCGGTGAGTGCTGCGGCAAAGGTGGGGTAGAACAACAAAGGGACAATTTTTTTACCTACATGCGGTGATTTTTGGTTTGATTGGATTACCCTCTGGGTCCCTTCCAAATCCACAATTCATTCATTTTATCGGATGGGCGGAATTCCAGCCAGGCCACAGCACTCAGGAGAAGGTACACAAAGCACACAGGTCTGAGATAAACCTTAGATTCTAAGGGGCTTTGGCGGGGAGGGGCCAGACATTTGGGTTGCGGGCGCACCCTATAGCATGCTCAGCCCCTTTCTCTATCAACGGGGATGACTTCAGTTACGCTCAAGACACAACCTGGAGGCCCTTTGTCTTCCCTCCAGGAACCAGGTGACGTGTCTCTCGGTCTCCACCGACGGAAGCCTGCTCCTGTCCGGCTCGCATGACGAAACCGTCCGGCTGTGGGACATCCAGAGCAAGCAGTGTCTGCGCACGGTGAATTACAAAGGTACGCAAGTGCTGTGTGCCTATGTGCACCTCCGCAAAGGGTTGCAGCGCAGCCCCTGCCTTGCATGCAGAAGGTCCCAGGTTTGAACCCTCTCCTGCATCTCTTGAGCAGAACTCCCACCTGGGGCCCTGGACAGACCTTGCTCCCAAGTAGCACAGGCAGTCCTGAGCGAAGTGGACCAAGATGAGTCTCTGTGTGAGGCAGGTTCCCTACAGTCCATTCGTTCATTTGTTGTCATTTTTTAAAAAAAGGAAGTTTCAGCATCTTTAACATATACAATCCAAACGCAGTTTTCATCTTTTCTCGACATCCCACCCCATTTTCCACAGAATTGTTGCATCTCCCCTCTGCTGCTCCTTCTCTTCTGCCTATCGAATCACAACCACAATATTACAGTCCAATTCCTTCTGTTGCTCATAGCTCAAATCCTGCTCACAAGTTCATCATGCTATAATATTTCTTTAAATAGTCCGAAAAAAGGCATCCATTCTTCCATAAAACACACACCATTAGAGTCTCTTAGTTTTCCTGTTGGTTTTGCCAGTTCTGCATATTTGTTTTGCAGGTTTATCAAACTCTCTTTGGCGAAAAGCTACCAGTGCAGTACGTAAGATCAGATGAAATGCAGAAAAGGCAGGGTATTGCAAGCTCAGTTAAGCAAAGCACAATAGCTTGCATCCAGCTCAAGTTTTACCCAGAGTAATAAAGGTAAAGGTAAAGGACCCCTGACAGTTAAGTCCAGTTGTGAATGACTCTGGGGTTGTGGCGCTCATCTCGCTTTACTGGCCGAGGGAGCCAACGTTTGTCCGCAGACAGTTTTTTCCAGGTCATGTGGGCAGCATGACTAAGCCGCTTCTGGCGAAACCAGAGCAGCGCACAGAAATGCCATTTACCTTCGCCGGAGCGGTACCTATTTATCTACTTGCACTTTGACGTGCTTTCGAGCTGTTAGATTGGCAGGAGCTGGGACCAAGCAACAGGAGCTCACCCTGTCCCGGGGATTCGAACTGCCGACCTTCTGATCAGCAAGCAGAAGAGGCTCAGTGGTTTAGACCACAGCACCACCCATGTCCCCTTCTGCTATCTAGCTGAATGTTAAGATGCTCTGATTTCAGCTGGTAACTGGGATTCCAGAGGGCTGCAGCGGCCACATTAAAAACTCCAGTTTCTTTCCCCAGCCCTGCCTGGAGATGCTGGGAATAAAAGTAAGCCGCACTGCTAGTCCTTATGCTTCCGAGCAAATAGCTGAAATAGGAATGGAGGACTTTGCCTTATGCCCAATCAGACCCGTGGTGCATCTAGCAGAATCTCTCCTGGAGTTTCAGGATCAGAGTCCCTTTCCTGGGAGGTGCCCTTCCCAGCTCAGATACCCAAAATATTTTGTTTATACCAGGCTGCTGAACTTTCTACTCCAGAGCAGAGATTTTAGGCATTCTCAGCAAACCATTTTGGGTTCCTTTCCTCTGGAATTCTTCTCCCTGAACAGGAGAAGGGGTGTCCGTGTTATTATCCGAGCCACCATTTCCTCATATCGAGTCATCTTTACGTAATCTTCATTTTAGCTATCTCTGTTTGTCTAGGGACAAAACTCTTCTCTTCCCCACCCCCAAGAACACAACACAATTTGCAAAATCCTCTTAGCCCTGGCTGGCTGTGTGCGTGTGTTTGGCATGTGCCCTGCTTTGTTTTGAAGCGGTGCTCAAAGCCTTGCGTTGGCAAAGAGAAAAGGAGCCATAAAGCCTGCATGGCTGAATCTTAAAAACCTCACGATCTGACTTGAGGATCGTAAATTTCTCAATGTGCTGAGCCGCGCTTGGTGCCTGCGCCCTCTTCCCCCTAATCCTGGGTAGAAAAAACTGCCAGGATATAACAATGGGGAGTGTTGGTTCGGCGTCGGCCAATGGGGAGGCAGCCCTTGTCCACCCACTCCTTCCTGGAGAGGAGAGGCAAATTATTTTCGCACAAGTTTTATTAGGAAAGGGGATTGGGAGATAAAACTGCCTGGTTTTGCAAGACCTTTTGTGGTGCAGCAACATTTGGAAAACTGGCGTGGGTGGTTAGGATTCCAGGCACCGGCCGATGCCCATGCGTCAGCCAGTGTGGGCAGGTGGTGATGGTAATAATAATAATAATAATAATAATAATAATAATAATAATAATAATTTGTTATTTATACCCCGCCCATCTGGCTGGCCACTCTGTGTCCAGGGCTGCTCCTCCATGCTGTGGCTGCATGTCCCCTTGACCCTCTAAGCCAGTGGGTGCCCTCGGGGTCCCAGTTATGGAATCATAGAAATGTAGAGCTGGAAGGAACATAAGAACCTCACAGGATCAGCCCAGTGGCGCACGGAGTCCAGCATCCTATTGCCACAGGATTCACAACTAAAGAATCCCTGGCAGGGGACCGTCCAACCTATTTAAAAACCTCTGAGGAAAGAGAGCCAAACACCTTCCAAGGAGACCGTTCCACTGTTGAACAGCTCAAAAACCGGAACACTCACTTCCGGGTTTGAGATCCAAGGTACGACTGTACTTGAAGATGGCCATAATGCCATCCCTCGGCCTTCTCTTCTCCAGGCTGAACATGCCTGATGCCCCTGAAAACTCCTTACTCTGCCACCCAGGTCTCTCCCTGGGCACAGAAGTAATATTTATTTATTTATTCATACATACATACATACATACCCAGCCACTCTGGGCGGCTTCCAACACAATATTAAAATACCCTAATGCATCAAACATTAAAAGCTTCCCTAAACAGGGCTGCCTTCAGATATCGTCTCCACAGGGCGGGTGCCACCACCAAGAAGGCCCTCTGCCTGGTTCCCTGTAACTTGTCTTCTTGCAGTGAGGGAACCACCAGGAGGCCCTCGGTGCTGGACCTCAGTGTCTGGGCAGAACGATGGGGGTGGAGACGCTCCTTCAGGAGCAGTGCAGTGGCCTGGAGCTCAGAGACCTGCTACTGATTGTGCCTGGCATGATGCAGCTGGGTGCTACCCAGGGCCATAGCTCTGTGGCAAAGCCTCTGCTGGGCTTGCAGAAGGTTCCAGGTCCAGTTTGCAGGCAGAACTGGTAGCATCCCCTGCCTGAACCCCTGAGGAGCCACTGCTATCCAGTCTGTGTGTAGGCTGATTAAGGGTCTGGAAACTAAGCCTTGTGAGGAGCGCTTGAAGGAGCTGAGAGGAGATATGATAGTCATGTTCAAATACCTCAAGGGCTGTCCCGTGGAAGAGGGAACAAGCTTGATTTCTCCTGCTCCGGAGGGTAGGACCCGAACCCATGGCTTCAAGTTAGAAGAAAGGAGATTCTGTCTAAGCATCAGGAAAAACTTTCTGACAGTGAGAGCTGCTTGACAATCTCCCTCGGAAGGTGGTGGAGTCTCCTTCCTGGGCGGTTTTTAAGCAGAGTTTGGATAGCCATCTGTCCTGGATCCTTGGCCTGAAATTCCTGCATTGCAGGGGGTTGGACTAGATGACACTCGGGGTCCCTTCCAACTCTACAGTTCTATGAACACTGAGGTTGAATAGGCCCAACGGCCTGGCTCTGCATAAGGCAGCTTCTTCCGTTGCTATTCAACCAGCTCATTATTCAGAAACATGAGGACTAGAATCTTACTTTTAGCGGAAGGGCCTAGCCCTGCTCTGCATGCACGAGGTCCAGGTAGGACAGGGAATGTCCCCGAACTCCCCCCTTTGCAACAGGGCAAAGAGCCCCTTTCTCCCTGTCCTTTATATAACGGCGTTGTTCGTCCCTCCCTCCTCCCCTCCAGATGTCTAATTACTTTTCTCCCTTCTCCGAAAAGAATCCTGTCCAGACGCTGGCAACTCTCTCTGCTGTTATCGGTGCCCCCGGGGGAGGCATTAACATCCTTTATCTCGGCTGCGCAGAACACTTGATAAGGCGCTGCCGCTGGCAGCTCAGTTCCCGACACGTCTCTCTTTTCTTCCAAACCCTCCCCTTTCAACATCGGCCTCGGAGCTTCCCTCCTCCCCACCCGCTAAACCCTGAGCCAGGGTGCCTGCTCTGCTTCCCAGCGCCGCCTGCCTCTCTTCGCATCTGCTCCATCCCTTCAAAGCTGATCTCTTTTCAGGCCAGTAAATCCTCTGTGCGGTGCAAGCGGCGAGACAGCCCTAATAACGAGGCTTTGGAGCGCCGCTCAAACTCGGGTAATTTAATAACATTCCGGGTCCGGCACTTCCACTGAGCTCCGGGGCGGCGGGAGGAGAGAGAAGAGAGGCCATCCTTCGTTTTGTAACGAGATGCAGCTGGTTTTAAGCATTCGCCAGCTTTAGGAGCGGCACTTGGGTCAATAATGGCTGAGCCGGGAGCTGTGCCACGAGAAATGAGCAAGTGAAATAGCGAAAGTTTCCCGTGAGCGTGCCTGCCGCTTCTCTGCATGAGTCTCTGCTCCCGCCTCACCTTGGCAGGACCCAGTTAATCCCGCCACATAATGGCACGGGTTGCTGCAGGATTCTTTGGTCACGTGAACGTAGTAGTAGCAGTAGTGAAGCAGGGGGCTCCTGTTGCCCCTCTGCATGAGTTGTTGCCCTGGGTTTGCTGCCTTGGGAGTGCAGTAGTGATTTGCACAGGGAACATGGGCAGAGAATGAACCCACACTCCGTTTCCTGTGCGAGGTGCCATTCCACTCCCTAGGGCGCAAGCCCAAGGCAGTGACTCATGCAGAGATTCAACAGGAGTGCCAGAAGCGGACTGGGTGAAATATGATTTTCACAACAACCCGTCCTCTCCCCGCAGAGAGAGATTTCCCATCAGCACATGCCTTGTTTCAGATCAGACCTTTCGGCCATCCAGACCACAACCTCCTGAGGGATTCCGTTCCACTGTCGAACAGCTCTTACTATCAGAAAGTTCTTCCTGGTGTTTAGTTGGAATCTCCTTTCTTGTAACTTGAAGCCATGGGTTCGAGTCCTGCCCTCCAGAGCAGGAGAAAACAAGCTGGCTCCCTCCTCCATGTGGCAGCCCTTGAGATATTTGAAGATGGTTCTCCTATCTTCTTTCAGTCTCCTCTTCTCCAGACGGAACATACCTAACTCCTTCAACTGTTCTTCATAAGGCTTGGTTTCCAGACCCTTCCATCATCTTGGTCTCCCTCCTCTGCCCACATTCCAGCTTGTCAGCATCCTTCTTAAATTGTGGTGCCCAGAATCGGACACAGTACTCCAGGTGTGGTCTGACCAAGGCAGAAAAGAGTGGTACCATTACTTCCCTTGATGAAGAAGGATTTTCTTTTACCTGTACTGGAGATTCCGGCTTCATTGGATTTCCACAATGTTACGACAGCAGAAGGAAAGCTGCTCTCTGCTTTCTCCAAGAAATGCATGATTCGATGCCTTCTCCTCCATCAGTACCAGTGGGCCGCAGGCCAGTCCGAGGCAGAACTTACTATCTTTCTGACACTCGGTTGGGGGAGCCAGTGTGGTTAGAGCATCGGGACTAAGACCTGGGAGAAAGCCCAGGGTTCGAATCCACCCACTGAGCCATGAAGCTCGCTTGGGTGGCCTTGGAAGCTAGCCTCTCTCGGGCTGACCTATCTCACAGGGCTGTTGCGAGGATAAAATGGGGAGGAGGAGAACCACGCACAGCTCCTTGGAGAAAGGTAGGGCAGAAATGCAATCAATAAATGGAACCAGAGGCTCATCTGAGCTCTTGAAAAGTTATTTATGGACGAATCCTCTTTGACCTGCCTCCCTGCCGCTGGGAAATGGATGGGTGTGGCACCCTGTTCTGCCCCAGCGCCTTGCAGATGGGGGGTGGCGGGGGCACACTTAACCAAAAGCTCCTGAGAGCTCCAGCTGTGGGCACTGCGGAGGTCTGCCTGGTTTTGCATGCAAACTCCAAAGGCAGAACCAGGTTTGGTGGGGGGGTGGATGCAGAGAAAGCTCACAGGGACACTGCTGGAAATAGATCTGAAGAGTCAAAAGACCAGCCCTGAGCCTTTGGCAGCTGCAAGCAAGGGATTCGAATTTTGTTATTCCGGCTGCTGTTTACAAACGGGTGTTGCTCTCAGATGGGTTGGGAAGGGGGAAGGACTTGCTGGATGCACTGTGTGTGTGTTAACGCCTGGCTTGGTGAGCAATGAGCTGAGGACCCTGCCTGCCCCCCCCCCCAAGCAGGCCATTCCTGGCCCTGTCCTCTTGCTTCCAAAGTCTTCTTCCTCCACTTAGTTTGCCAGGGCGATGGATGCAACAATTTGCGAGTGCAGAGGGGTGAGCTGAGGTTGTGGCAGGGAGGCGCCGGGAGCCTGACGGCAGCCCGTGTGGGTAAATGCGGTAATTAAAGCGCTCATTAACTCCGCTGAGTGGATGTGTGCGATAGATCATTACCGCGAGACAACTTGCGAGCGCACCGGGGCCTGGGTGATGGATGGCTCGCTCGGCAGAGGACGGAGAGGCCGCAGTGCTTGGGGCTGCGCCTGGTCGCCCCCGGGGAGGTCTCCAAACAGTTCCCTCCGGTCGCCTCCAGATGCCTTCCTAGCTAATTGGAGGAGAAGCTTGGAGAGGTGGCGAGGGAGGAACGAAAACACACACACGCCTTGGATTCTGTAGAGCAAAACCGCCAAAAGATGGTGGAGAGGAGATGTGATTCCTCGGAGGTTTTCAAGCAGAGGTTGGATGGCCATCCGTCATGGATGCTTCAGCTGTGGTGCTTGCACTGCAAGGGGTTGGACTAGAGGACCCCCAGGGGTACCTTCCATCATTCCCCCAGGCAGGGCTTGGAAAATACCCCCTGCCTGAGGCCCTTGAGCGCTTCTGCCAGCCAGTGTAGACTAGTGGTTCTCAAAGAGAATAGTACTGCCCCCTGGGTGGGGCGAATACCTAAGTGGGGGTTGCTAGGGGGCAGCAGGGGGCCCCTGTAAATGACAGTCAGGCTCTGGAAAGCTGGCATCTCCCTGGATCAAGTTTGTAGGCTTTGTTGAATTAATTGTACAATTTTTAATTGGGCTTTGAGTGAACGGACAATGAATTGCTGCTGTTTTGAATTTTATCGTGTCATCATCTCCCTTAGTGCGCCGTGCAAGCTGCTGCTCTGAATAATGCTTTTTGTGGTGCAGAATAGTGAGCACACGGGGCGAGTTGATGAACCAAGCTGGAAAAGGTTTGGGAACCACTGTTGCAGACAATCTTGGGTGAAATGAACCCAAAGTCTGGCTTCGTCTAAGGCAGTCTTCCTGCGTCTCTGTTGAATTACTCCTTTAAATCACTATGAGTGTATTGAATTACCCCTTTAAATCACTTATTGGAGTTGGGGGGGGGTTTGAGTCAGTTTTAAACTGACTGCACAGAAACCCATTCCTTCATGAGGACTAGAAACCTTACTGATCTGTGGGGCCTGTCTCCTAAATAGAAAGGTGCATGCTCTGTGTGCAGAAAGGCTGGGACTGACTCCTCGTCTGAAAGCCCAAAGAGCTGCTGGCAGTCACAGTCCTGAGATGGATGGCTTGGTATCCTGACTCCGCATAAGGCTGCTTTTGACTTATCAAGAACCATGAGGACTGGCATCTTGCCTCATTTTCAGGGGAGGGTCCACAAGCTCCGTGCTTGAGAGGCCTCTTCCAAACTCTCCAATTTCTATGATTCCGCAGTTAGCCCCTCATACGGCATCCCACATGCCTCTTTTCCCTGCCATAAACATAAAGGTTAAAGGGGACCCCTGACCATTAGGTCCAGTTGTGGCCGACTCTGGGGTTGCGGCGCTCATCTCGCTTTATTGGCCGAGGGAGCCGGCGTACAGCTTCCGGGTCATGTGGCCAGCAGGACTAAGCCGCTTCTGGCGAACCAGAGCAGCGCACGGAAACGCCGTTTACCTTCCCGCCGGAGTGGTACCTATTTATCTACTTGCTCTTCGATGTGCTTTCAAACTGCTAGGTTGGCAGGAGCAGGGACCGAGCAATAGGAGCTCACCCCGTCATGGGGATTCAAACTGCTGACCTTCTGATCAGCAAGCCCTAGGCTCTGTGGTTTAACCCACAGCGCCACCTGCGTCCCTGACATAAACATACCTTGCCACTAAATCTCTCCCTCCCTCCCATTTGCTCCTGCAGGTCCCGTCACCAACGCCTTCATCACCCTGGCTCCAGCCAACATGCTAAACCCGGAGAGCAAGCCCCGCGTCCCCCTGCCCAAGTTCAGCCGCCACCTCTACACCATGGAGAACGCGGGGAGCCCTGCCAGCGAGGGGATGATGCTGTGCCTGGGAATGCATCAGAAGGTAGGGGGGTCTTCGGCTGCTTCCCCAGCAAACATGGGCCAAGTGACCACCAAGCTAGAAATCCCCCTTCACTCTTGAGGAAGGTGGGCAAAAGGATGGCGGAATGCTTAACGCCCCAGGTCCACTGGTATAAAGGTCTCACTAAGACCAATAGATTTGAGGCTATTTCCCAGTGTTCGATCCTCGGTTGGAAAGGCACAGTCGTAGAATCAAGAGTTGGAAGGGACCCAAGGAGTCGTCTAGTCCAATCCCCTGCGATGGACAGGTCAAAGTTAAGAATATGGCCTTTTGGCTGCCCAGGTGGAGAATAGAGAGCGGGACGTGTCTGAACTAGAAGAATGTAAGGTAAAGGTGCCCCTGCCCGTACGGGCCAGTCGTGTCCGACTCTAGGGTTGTGCGCCCATCTCACTTAAGAGGCCGGGGGCCAGCGCTGTCCGGAGACACTTCCGGGTCACGTGGCCAGCGTGACGAAGCTGCTCTGGTGAGCCGGCACCAGCGCAGCACACGGAAACGCCGTTTACCTTCCCGCTAGAAAGCGGTACCTATTTATCTACTTGCACTTTAGGGGTGCTTTTCGAACTGCTAGGTGGGCAGGAGCTGGGACCGAGCAGCAGGAGCGCACCCCGCCGCGGGGATTCGAACCGCCGACCATGCGATCGGCAAGCCCTAGGCACTGAGGTTTTACCCACAGCGCCACCCGCGTCCCTAGAAGAATGTACAAAGGGGGGGAAATGAAACAAAAAGCAGATTCATTGCTCTTCCACTCTCACAGCTCAGTCTTCAGAGATGGCGATTGCCCATGATTCTTGACTAGAGATGCTCGTGGGAGATCTCGCAGGAACTCGGACAGTCCTGGGAGATCTCGCAAGCCTATGCGAGAACTGGCACGTGGAGAGGGCCTTGTTCCCCCACCCCCAGCAAGGCAGGGGGCTTAAAAGGACTTCTGTCCTGCTTGCATTTAATAATAATAATAGTAGTAGTAATAATAATAATAGTAATAATAATAATAGTAATAATAATAATAGTAATAATATACAGTGGTACCTTGGGTTACATACACTTCAGGTTACATACACTTCAGGTTACAAACTCCACTAACCCAGAAATAGTACCTCTGGTTAAGAACTTTCCTTCAGGATGAGAACAGAAATCGTGCGGCGGCAGCAGGAGACCCCATTAGCTAAAGTGGTGCTTCAGGTTAAGAACAGTTTCAGGTTAAGAACAGACCTCTGGAATGAATTAAGTACTTAACCCGAGGTACCACTGTAATATAATATGCAGCCCATCTGGCTAGGTTGCCCCAGCCACTCTCAGCGGCTTCCAACACATATAAAAACACCAAACATTAAAAACATCCACATACAGGGCTGCCTTCAGATGTCTTCTAAAAGTTGTGTAGTTATTTATCTCCTTGACATCTGGTGGGAGGGCGTTCCACAGGGCGGGTGCCACCTCTGCCTGGTTCCCTCTCACCTCACTTCTCGCAGTGAGGGAACTGCCCTCAGAGCTGGACCTCTATGTCTGGGCTGAACGATGGGGGTGGAGACGCTCCTTCAGGTCTACAGGGCTGAGTTTGTCTTTTCCTTGCGGTTTGTAATTGCTTTCTCTGATTACACAGCAGACCAAATAAAGACATGTTTTAGAGCAGGAGAGGGGGAGAGAGAAGGGACAGAAGTGGGACCCAGGCATGGTGGGCGAAGGGGACACACCTCTGAGCTCTGCATGCCTGTGTGCCAAGCCTCCTTCCCCTTCCGATGAAGGCAGGAGCAAGTGGCTGCTCCCTGCTGGAGGAGGCGATGCAGATCTGACAGAGGCAGGGCTGAATGTTCTGGTACAAGTATCCCTCAGGGAAAGGAACAGGTTGGCAGGAGAGAGAGAGAGGGAGTGTATTATAATCCTGTTGTTGGGCACTGAGGCAGTAATAGGCTGGAACGTCTCCACCGCACCTTGGCATCTCGAGGGACGAGGTCGGCCGTAACGCATAAATTAACTTCCAGTGTTGGGGAGGCCAGCAAGATCCCAGCCAGCTCAGCCTCCTGTCCCCACAGTGGCCAAACAGTTGCGCCAAAAGGAAGCCCAACAGCAAGATCTGAGCACAAGAGCCCTTCCTTCCTGTGGTTTCCAGCATCTGGGATTCAGAAGCCTTGCTGCCTCTGACCGTGCAGGCAGAGCGTAACCATCCCGGCTCGTACCCCTTGATAGCCCATTCCTCCACCATCCATTTGTCCAATTCACTTTTAAGCCATCTGGCTTGCTGCCCATCACCGCTTCCTGTGGGAAGGACTTCTGCAGTTTAACGAAGGGTTTTATTTTATCTGTCTTGAATCTTCCAACCGGGCCTTCCTTGTGTCAACAGCTTTTAGGACTGCCCGATTCAAGGACTGCCCGATTCCTTCTGCCCTGCCTTGATCACAGAGACCTTCCAGTGGGGCACTCTTGGTGCTTGTCAGAAAGACCCTGCCTCCTTTCTCCCCCTTGACTGCCGACTGGTAGAATAACAGCTGAGGATAAGCAAAGGGCAGCTGGTCTCTGAGCAGAGTCGACTGAGCATCCCTCCTTCCCTCTTTGAGACTTGGGTTTCACAAGAGCTGGGCCTCTGCTCTGATTCAGGAGGTTCTCCTTTCTGCCTGGGACCTTCTCTTGGGTTCATGCAGGTGGCTTTGAGTGGAGACCACGTGACTTCAGGGACACTAGAGGTGGACAGGGGGCGGGGAGAAGGTCCCGCTACCTGTTGGCGAGCTTTCTGGGGACACCTGACTGCAGGGAAACGGGAGGTAGCTTTGCTGTCATGTCCCCCACAACGTCATAAAATCTCAGCCTCCCCACCCAAACCCGCCAACACCCCTTTGCCAGGAACGCATTTCGTTTTCCCAGCAAGGGGTTGCGTCCGATGCCCTCTCGCAGCCTCTCCAAGGAGAGGGAGAACGAGGGAAGCCGGCATTTCATCCGCCTCGCCTGTTAACCATCGCTCACTGCGGAGGCATTTTCTCCTCTCCTGCCTGTCTCCTCTCCCCCCAAAACACAAAGGGTGCTTTGATGTGTTATCTCTCCTGCCTGTCATTTTTCTCTCTCCACCCGCGAGACTGATGGGGCCGTCTTCTTTGATGGATTAGCTCCTTGCAAAGGGAGGCCTCGTGCCCGCTCCTCTCCCCTGGCACCACACGGCTTGTCCTTTTCTTCTTCTGAGTTTCCTTCAGCTGCGGCGGGCAGAGTGTCCGGCCGCCCACCCCAAGGCTATCGCCAGGTATCTCATCTAGTGTTCCTGTAACAGATTCCCAGGAGCGTCCGCTGTCAGCCCTGCTCCTTTCCTCTGCAACGTTGACAGCAGCCCCAAACCTCCAAGGTGCGATGTCTCTTGTTCACCCAGCAAAAGGAAACCAGGAAAGGGGGTTGTTCAGGTTGGATTGGTTTGGGAAACTTCAGCTCCCTTGGGGAGTCTGGCAGAATCCTGACAGCAGAACAAGATTCTAGCCCTCATGACTGCTTGGGGGAGGGTGGGAGACTGAAAACTTGTGAGAACACATAGGAAGAGTCCTGCAGGGTCAGGCCAGTCAGGGCCCATCTAGTCCAGCATTCTGTTTCTCACAGTATCCAACCAGCAGTGTTTGAAATTAGTCCGGCTCCAGCTGCATTTTGCACCTGGCTATCGGCCACTTGCGACCAAGTGAAGGTTCCTGGGTGTCGCCTGACACCTCCACCATCTGGAGGTGCATGCCTGGGCATCCTTGGACCTCGACTGTTTGCACACACTAATACGCCACCCTGTAGAATCCTGTCTGTTGTATTTTATCTGCACAATCAGGATGAATTTCAGCAGCCAAAATGCTTTTTCAGTGCAGCCTGAGCAAGAGCAGTGAGCAACGTTATAGTGAATTGTTGTCACTTGTCTTCGCTCCCCCCACTGCCCTGCTGAGAGTTGTGAATGCCTGTGTTATGAATGGTCTGTGTCACTAGGAAGAAAAAGAGGTCGGAATGGGCCGATACATATGTAGACTTTCCCTGGATCAAGTGACTTTTCTTCTTTGCTTTCTCAAAGCTCTTAACCCAGCCAGGGGCGTAGGAAGGGGTGTGTGGTGGGGGTGGTCTGCCCCGGGTGTGATCCCAGAGGCAGGTGACAAAATCCCCCCTGGGTGGGTTGTGCCACCGCACCGCCATGGGCCCCCCGCCGAAGGATCACACCTCCCCTGGGTGCATGACATGTGCACCGCTCCAGGTGCCGGAATGGCTAGCTCCACCACAGAACCCAAGGTTGTCCCCTGAACTACCCAGATGTTTAACTGAGAATCAATCAGAGTCAGTCCCTCATTTGGAAAATAAGACTTAAGAACTGTCTTGCCCCCAAATGGCATCTAGAGGTTCTGTTTTGGCAACTGCAACCTTGGTTCAAGGAGTCATTTAGTGCCTGGCTTGTGTGTCTTGAGTTTCTAACACTGCAGACCATATCCTCCTTCTGGGAAGAGGACCTGAGTGTGATAGTGGGGGGAGAACTTAGCCATTGTAGCTAGTAGGATTAATTTTGGTCAGTTCTCTTTTCAGAGCCATCTGTGAAGGGGCCAAAGGAGAGCCCTTAATTCCAGCATCCTGTTCTCACAGTGGCCGACCAGGTGCTTATGGGAAACCAGAAGGCAGGACACAAGCTGCTGGAGTCCAGAAGCGTCACTGCTTCTCCTCGTGGGGCTAACTGCTTCTGATGCAGCATTTTTTGAGCCCTTGGTTGCATTCTGAAAAGCCACTGGCATCAGTTGTGCAGAACCATCTCACTTGTCGCTCCTGAATTGAGGGTTCTTTCGCTCGTTTTTGAGGCTGTGTTTTTGTCCCCGGTTTGTTTTAAAACATAGCTGCTCTTTTTTTTAATACCACCCTCTGACGGAAACATTTTCCAGGGCGGTTTTACCACAGACCGTAAAACAGCAATAAAAAAACCAGCACAGTTCAATAAAAAGCAAAACCCAGCGTTGACAGAAAATAAATAAATCAGAGGTTGAAAACCTGGGAAAATGAGAAACGTATCTGCTTGGCATCAGAAAGACACGAAGGCAGGGAAGTTTTAAACAGATGGTGTTTTGTTGTGTTTTTAATATTTTGTTGGGAGCTGCTCAGAGTGGCTGGGGCAACCCAACCAGATGGGTGGGGTATAATTAATGAAATCACTATTACCAATTGGTGTCAGACCAGGCGAGAGAGAGAGAGATCATGTCCCCCGCAAGTAGAGGGTACAGCTGAAAAGACCCTCCCATGTTTGCCACCCACCTCGTCCAAGGCAGCCTGGGCGGGCGGACTTAAGAAAGGACTCCACATTCTATGGATTCCATTTGTATTTTTTGAAGCGCCTATCTTGTTGCAGTATGGAAAGCTTTAATGAAAATCTCACGACAACATGGGCAAGGGTGGGGGCGGGGAGTGACTGATAGCTACATCATCTTGAGGTTTGGGGGACTTCAGAGGTCATGGGGCTGAAATTCCCTACCCCCAGGCCACAGGAGGATCTTTCGCTTGGCTTCCCATTGGGTCATCTGGTCGGCCGCTGTGAGAACAGGCTGCTGAAGCAGACCTTGTGAGGAATGGTTGAAGGAGGTAGGTAGGTATGTTTAGTCTGGAAAAGAGGAGACTGAGAGGAGATATGTGGAGTACTGTGTCCAGTTCTGGGCACCACAGTTCAAGAAGGACACTGACAAACTGGAACGTGTCCAGAGGAGGGCAACTAAAATGGTCAAAGGCCTGGAAACGATGCCTTATGAGGAACGGCTAAGGGAGGTGGGCATGTTTAGCCTGGAGAAGAGGAGGTTAAGGGGTGATATGATAGCCATGTTCAAATATATAAAAGGATGTCATATAGAGGAGGGAGAAAGGTTGTTTTCTGCTGCTCCAGAGAAGCGGACACGGAGCAATGGATCCAAACTACAAGAAAGAAGATTCCACCTAAACATTAGGAAGAACTTCCTGACAGTAAGAGCTGTTTGACAGTGGAATTTGCTGCCAAGGAGTGTGGTGGAGTCTCCTCCTTTGGAGGTCTTTAAGCAGAGGCTTGACAACCATATGTCAGGAGTGCTCTGATGGTGTTTCCTGCTTGGCAGGGGGTTGGACTCGATGGCCCTTGTGGTCTATTCCAACTCTATGATTCTATGATTCTATATGAGAGCCAGCTTCACATATCTAAAGGACTGGCAGATGGAAGAGCTGTTCAGCAGTGGAATGGTCTCCCTCGGGAGGTGTGGACTCTCCTTCCTTGGAGGTTTTTAAGCAGAGCTTGGATGGCCATCTGTCATGGACGCTTGAGCGGAGATTCCTGCTTTTCAGGGGGTTGGGCTGGATGACCCTCATGGTCCCTTACAACTCTATGATTCTGTGACTAGATGGGCCAGTGGCCTGACCTTTATTATGTCCTTGAAGGTGAAGAAAGACCTAGAGGGGCAGAGAGAGAGAAGCAAGAGTTTCTGTAACCTTTGAAAAAGGACGCTGCTCCCTTGCTATAAAATAAAATAGAGAGATTGCTGTGAAGGTCCTCTCGCTGTGTGTTTTGTGTGCGTTGAGAGAGGGAGAGAAACCCCAATAACACAATGTCTTCCTTTTGCAGACAGTAATAATCTAGAGATAATAGGGGGGAGGCTGGAATGAGAGTGCCAGAGCCAGGCTCTGCGGATCCCCTCCGTCCTGCGCGCAGGATAAAGATCTCCTCTATCTCCCATTATCAGCTGCGTGTCTGCTCCGAAATTAGAACAGAGAGTCTCGGGCTGCGTGTCTGGAGTTCACGATGAGCTGCTGCTGCTGAGGCTTGAGGTGGTGGGGGGAGGTTTTCCCTTTCCCACTGGTGACGGGAGGCAGGTTTTCAGGCACTTCTGCAAGGCGGCAGAGCAGCTGCCTTGCACGCTGAAGGTGCCAGGTTCAAATCTCCAGAGAGGGCTGAGCTAGACAGCTTGATGGTTTGGCTCCGTATAAGGCACCTTCCTAGTTAGATCAGCTCTTTGCTTGGAATCATGAGGACCAGAATCTTGCATTATTTGGAAGGAAAGGACCACAGCTCGTTGACAGACCACCTGCTTGGCCTTCAGAAGGTCCCTGGTTCAGCTCCCCACTAATGTCATGGCCATGTGGGGCCTGAAACTTTGACAAGCCGCTGCCAGTCTGTGTGGACAATACTGAGGCTGTTGCGGTGTGGTCAGGAAAGGAGCCCTGTGTGGTCAGGCTGGGTAGTGAAAGGCCTCGCGTAGCTAGTAATTTCTTCTGCACTTTGTTGCTTGGGGAGACTCCTGTGAGCCAGAGGGCGACGCTCCTTGGTCCCTGCTTCTCTTTCAGCGTGCAGCAGCGCAGAGTCCCAAAATGGCTCTCGGGGCACAGAGTGCTGAGCTTTGGCATGCCAAATGGCAAAGCTGTCTCAAAGGTGTCTGGGACTGGTTGGAGGCTGAGGAATGAGGGGGTCCCAACTGGGGGAACCCCAAGGAAGGAAGGCTCAGAGCCCAGGCAGTGGTGGTGGGACAAGAGTGAGTGGTCAGAGGGAGAAGCCTGGGGGGGGGAGGTGTCAGAAGCTGGAGAGGTAACAGGGCTTAGCATGCAGGGAGAGTCTGTGGCAGAGGGAAGTCAAGAATTGGAGGCAGAAACTGAAGCAGGAGAGGAGGGAGGCCAGGAGGCAGAGGGGAGGTCTGGCTGGTAGAGAGTCACAGATGTCTCCCCCTCCTGCTGCAAAAAGCTCCCCTCCCTGCTGGTCTCCCAGAACCAGGAGAGGCATGAAAAGGGCAGAGGAGAGGTTGGCTGCATGCAGGCCCAGTCTCCGGTTGCTTGGGGAAAACCCTGGAGAGGAGGAGACTTAGACAGCTGTGGGGAGGCAGGGACTTTCAATCTCAGCAACTGCATCATGGGGGCAAGACTTACCAGAGATTATTTGCTGTGCTTATTGGGCCTGGCGCTCCTGTGCAGATCCTGTTTTTGCTAATAAAGACTTGTCTACTAGTCGCTCAGTGTGATTTACTGCTGCTCTCTCCTGTCGAAAGGCATGTTCCAACCTTGCTCCCTCCAGCGGCCTGCCTTGTCACTCCTCTCTCATGGCCGGCCAGCTGATCGTATCAGTCCCCTCTCTCTCTGATGAATGCCTTCTCAAAAAAAAAAAAAGCCTCTCAAGCAATCGTTTTGTCCCCTGTTATCACGGTTGGTGCGGTGTGATCCTCTTCCTTTAAAAGAATTCCAAGGCTGGCAGAGCTTCTCCGGATCTCTTTGTGAGAGATTATCCCTTCAGCTTCTTCCTTAAGCGCTGCGGAAACTTTATCAGGGAGCACTTGAAATTCTTTGGCTTCTCTCCCCGCCATTATGCTGGAATATAGCTTTTGCTCCTAGGGTGTGGCTCTTAAGCCAACAGCTTGCCTTTGGCATCAGCTCCACCGAAGCAGAAACCTGGGAGACACCTCAGTCCTAGGCTCAATCCCCAGCATCTCCCTGGAGGGCTGCTGCCAGCCCATGCTGGGAATATTGAGCTAGGTGGCCCTAACAGTCCGACTCGTATGTATTTAAAATAGCTGTGTATGAACCATGAGGGCTATATGCTTAGTTTTGTGTAAAGCAGTTTCTTGTATCCTCTGGGTGGGGGGTTAAGGGTTTTTTTATTTCATGCTGTAGTGTGTTTGTGTTTGATATAACAAAAAGAACATAACAACAGATAAAAATTTTAACATGGAAAACAAAGCTATAGAATAGGCATAGAACGGGTACAGTTGCACATTGGTTGAAATAACAGAAGTCTATGAGTAGAGTCATACCTCGGGTTACAGACGCTTCAGGTTGTGTGTTTTCGGGTTGCGCACCGCGCCGAACCCGGAAGTACCGGAATGGGTTACTTCTGGGTTTCAGCACATGCGCAGAAGCGTGAATCGCAACCTGCGCATGCACAGACACAGCACTGCGGGTTGCAAACACTGCTGGTTGCGAACGTGCCTCGTGCACGGATCTTGTTCGCAACCGGAGCGTCCACTGTGTAGGATATAGGCATTACCTGGTTATTAAGTCTAGTGGGGACAGCCGTGGGTAGCTCTGTTGGTTGGAGCATGGTGCTGACAAGGCCAGGGTTGCAGGTTCAATCCCCGCAAGGGACAGCTGCAAATCCCTGCATTGCAGGGGGTGGGACTAGATGATCCTCAGGGTCCCTTCCAACTCTGCAATTCCGTGCCAGATTTGCCAGGCTTGTAGCAGGAGTCTCGAAAATGATGGTCCTTCTCTCTGTGTATGTAATAAAGGAATGCCAAATCATACAAAAAGTGCATGGGAGTTCTGGTCAAAATCTCAAATTACGCACAATTTCCTCCCATTTTCCAGAGCGGTGGGTGCCCAACGCCCTATGTATGATTTGTCAGCTGTTTCCAATTGGGTTGCAATTACTGTTTGAGCTGCTCAGACCATCTGTAAGACTGGTTCTTTTGACAATATGTCTACACAATGGCATTTTCAAAAATATCCTTGGCTTGTATATTGAGCCCTCTGTTCTTCTGTCTCCCACAGGGATCCGGAGAGAGCAACCTGGAGAAAAAAGAGCGGCTGTACTCGCAGATGTGTGCGACAAGAGAAAAGGTGAGGCTCTCTATCCCTGCAACAGGCAAATTTTGAGTTTTGAGAGGCTTGATCTTGACACATTGCAGACTTTATTTTTTCTTGACCAAATCAGATTTATTGCTAGTTAAGTCAGCCATCGTGCCATTCGTATACACAGACAATAAAAACAAGGAAGGTGTATAAGGCGCACTAAAATACCATTAGCATTTTGCTTTGCAGTAAAGTTTTGGCAATTTTTTTTAACAGTAGGCCAGCGATTCCTACACTGTGCACTGCGGCAGGTAATCCTTCACTTTACTCCCCTTGAAAAGCTGAAATTGAAAAATAAAAACCTTGAGAAATAAAAGCCTAATGCCAGGCGGCAAGACGTGCTTTTTGAAAAAAGAACCGTGAAAAATCAGATTGGGCCTCTGGTGGAAGCAGTGAGGGGAACCATCGAATCTTGAGAGTTGGAAGGGACCCCTGAGGTTCATCTAGTCCAACCCTCAGCTAAAGTGTCCCTGATAGATGGCCACCCAACCTCTCCTTTAAACCTCCAAGGAAGGAGAGGCCACAACCTCCCGAGGGAGACAGTTCCACTGTCAAACTGGTTCTGTCGACCCCAAAGCAACTCTCCAAAGCGACTTCATCTCTCTCATCTTAAAAACTGGGAGGGGGGAAAAGGGTCAGGGAAGCCTCTGGCAGGGGAAGAGAGTCACCACTTCCATATTGGATGCAGCTATCTTAAGGGTTTGCATGGGCAAAAGCTGTGTGGGCAGAAGCTCGTGGAATTGCAATGCCCTCTGGATGAATGTGGGTTTCGCCATCCCAGGATGGAGTGCCTCTTCTGAATAGAGCCATTCCTCAAATTCTGCTTGGTGGGAGACAGGTTTTCTCCACCTCTTGCCAGGGATGGAGGTCGCTGTGGCCCTAACACCATCCGCCTTCGTCGCCGCTGAGTTCAGGGTCCCAGGACGGGCAAAGCAGTGCCCTGAGCCAATACTCTGATCCTTCCTCCGCTTCTCCTCCCACCCTGGTTCCACTCCTCATTTAGTTTTCAACCCCCTTTTTCCCTCGCAGAACTTGATGGGCGACCAGGAGCAGCTGAAGATCCAAGTGACTCAACTGGAGGAAGAGGTGGGCACCTTGCGCAAGATCAACAAAGGCCTCTTTGACTTCTCCAGCCGCCTCATCATGAAGCAGGGCAAATAGCGGGGGGGGGGCTTCTCCTCCGAGCCCAGCCTGGTGGCAGCAGAGTGCTCCCCCCTTGGGACAAGAACCTGGCGGCAGCCACACACAGCGCCTGGATTGCCAAAACTTCTTCCCTGGTCAGAGGGGCAGAAACGATGTTCATACCCTTGTCCGCTGGCAGGACCGGACTTCACACATCCAGAAATGGGGGGGGGCAGAGATGGTGTAAGTCAGGATGGTTCGAACAGGACGTTGCAAAAAGACATGGCCGTTCCCCCTTCCTGCTCCTCTTCCTCAAACAAACCAACGGGCCCGTTCCACATCCCTCTCGTTTTGCAAAGGATAATGGGCCGCGCCATATGACCTGTCGCTGCTCCACCGCTGCCTTTGCCGCCAGGGATTGATGATCAGTAGTACGACTGCTTTCTTTGGGGGGGGCTGCAGGTGGCTTTTGGGGGTTCACCAGACATTCTGGCATTCCGCAGGCAGATCTCCTGGCCACTGTCAGTCCAGGAGGAGAACAAAGCCGTTGTCAGCAAAGAGGCCTCAATTCCTTTTAACACTGTGTTTTTGAGAGCGACAGAGAGGCCCCCCTTGGAAGTAGGGGAGAGGAGAGAGTCTTGTGTTTCATCGTTCCGCAGGCTGCAGAAATGAGGCATTGGATTCTGGGCTGGGTAAACCTCTCCGGGTGAGTTGTGCTTCTCAACGGTTCTCTCCCCTCATTAAAAACGTGCACAAATCTCCCAAGCGCTCCCTGCTTTATGAAAGCTAGCCATTCAGGGGTTATGCACCCCCCATGCTATTTTTACATGCAGGGAGAGATTTATTTATTTACATTCTATTGAGCCTGCGCAAATTAGACCTTCCTGCCATTGAACTGACCCACTAAAATTCACGCAGCTCCGTCATGCACGGTGCGCCAGATCGTATCCTTAACCCTCCTCTTGTTGGTCAGGACACGCAGCTCCGTATCCCAAGCTGCTTTTTTTGTTCTCTGGTGAATCTGCTCCTCCTTCCTGTCCTCTCTCTCCCCCTACAACCCTTGTCTTTCTTCATTTTACTTCCTTTAAAAGCAATACCTCTGACAAATCCTTTTCCTTTTATTTCTCGTTTTGTTTTTGTTTTGTACTTTTTTAAAATAAAGGATTGTTTTCCGAAATTGCATTTTGGTGGAGTGTTTAGAGAGAAGGCGACTTAAGAGGCAACTTAAGAAGCATATAAAATTACGCATGGAGAAAGTTGACTAGAGAAAGGGTTTTGCCCCCCCCCCCACACTAGAACTCGATGACATTCAAAGAAGCCGAATGCTGAAGGCTCCCCTTGCCCTTAGTCATCACAGCTAAATGGAACCTCCAGATTCAGGGGCAGCCTACCCCTGAATGCATCTGTTGCCCTGATACCTCTTCTGTGGAGCCCACCAGCAGACCCAACTGGCCTTTGGAGGCATTGGCTTCCTCCTCCGGCAGAGGGCAAACAGCCATGGTTGGTGGCCGTTGGCATTTCTCTGCAGAGAGGTTTCCCCGCTTGCCTCCGGGTCTTTGCAGGGGGCGCATCGCTCAGTACACAGACTCCTAGAATTGTAGTTTGAAAGGGGCCCCAGCAGTCTCATCTGCAATGCTGGAATCTCAGCTACGGCATCCATGACAGAGGGCCACCCAACCTCTGCTTAGAAACCTCCAAGGAAGATGTGGCTTCGCAAGCTGATCTGCAGATCTCGGGTGCTTCTTTCCCTGCTGCACAACGGGAGCGGCTTGTGCACGTCCCATTCAATCTCGTCTCTCAGACCCTGGAGCTGTGTGCTCTCATCCTGGCTTCCTGGGGGGGCCTTTGCTTCTCTGAGTGCAGGGTGGGACCAGCAGCTTCCTCCTCGAGCAGATAGGCGCCTTGGGATGCAGAGATCACTTTCTGGTTGTCATTCCTCCCTGAAGACCCAGTTGTTTCTGCAGCAACGCCAGGCAGAGGCTGCCATTTTTATACCCGGCTGTTCAGCCTCTAAGCCAGCTGTTCCTGGACTTTTCGCCATCCCCCTTGGTTCCATAATCTCATACATCCCCCGTGCTCCCTGCCCTGGAAAATGCAACCGCAGTTTGCACGGCACGCTAAGAGAACAGCGCAATGAAATTCAAAGCGTCAGCGATTAATGGCACACATAATACAAAACCCAGTTAAAGCTAATTCTACGGAAGGGGCGAACTTGATTCAGTGGTGGCCCTGTCATTTGCAACTCCAGCGCACCCCTAGAGGAAACGGGGGGGAGGCAAAAGACCTATTCACAAACCATTACTCTGTGGAACTCCCTGCCAGGAGGTGCGATTGCTGCTTGCTTAAGGCAACTTTAACATGTGGGATACACATTAAGAGCAAAAGATGCTCTTAATCATGGGTTCATGGGGTAAAATATTTGCATTGCAGGGGGTTGGACTAGATGACCCTGAAACCCCTTCCAATGATTCTATGGGAGGAGGCAGAAGCAGTTTTATCAGCTTCTTAGGCCCTTTTTCGTGTGCTTCCTCCAGGTGAGGTCCGGAGGGTGGCAACACAAGAGCAGGGCCTTCTCTGCAGTGGCTCCCTGTCTGTGGAATGCTCTCCCCCCAGGGAGGTTTGCCTGGGGCCTTCATTATACAACTTTAGACGCCAGGCAAAAATGTTCCTTTTTAGCCAGGCCTTTGACTGATTTAAATGTGTTATGGAAGGGGAGGTCGCTTGTTCCTTTCTGCTCTTACTTTTATTATGTATTTTCTGTTTTTTGTACCATGATTTTATGTTGTGAACCACCCTCAGGTCTATGGGTATAGGGTGATATACAAATTTAATCAATAATGATGATATTGCCTGCTATAACCCATAACGGTGTTTTTAATGGAGCCTCCATGTCCCAATGCAATCTACCCCAGAAGGAGGACCAGCCATTACAAGGGGCAGGGGGGGCCACTAATGTGGATGGGTTTAAAAAATAGAATTATAGAACTGTAGGGACGCGGGTGGCACTGTGGGTTAAACCACAGAGCCTAGGACTTGCCGATCAGAAGGTCGGCGGTTCGAATCCCCGCGACAGGGTGAGCTCCCGTTGCTCGGTCCCTTCTCCTGCCAACCTAGCAGTTCGAAAGCACGTCAAAGTGCAAGTAGATAAATAGGTATCACTCCGGCGGGAAGGTAAACGGCGTTTCCGTGCACTGCTCTGGTTCGCCAGAAGCGGCTTAGTCATGCTGGCCACATGACCCGGAAGCTGTATGCAGGCTCCCTTGGCCAGTAAAGCGAGATGAGCGCTGCAACCCCAGAGTTGGCCACGACTGGACGTAACGGTCAGGGGTCCCTTTACCTTTTTATAGAACTGTAATGTTGGAAGGGGCCATGGGGGTCATCTAGTCCAACCCCCTGCAATGCAGGAATCTTTTGCCCAACTTGGGGCTCGAACCCACGACCCTGAGATTAAGAGCATCTTTTGCAAGAGTCTGAATTCATCAGTCAATCCACACACACAGAGCTTCTGAATACCAGTTTCTGGAAACCATAAAAGGGGAGAGGGCTTGAATCCTGCTTGCGGGAATATTTCTGGGGCACCTGGTTTGCCAGTGTGAGAAGTCCTTGTGGAACCTCCAGGTCAGAGGCAGTCTATCTGGATTCCTACCTTCTTCCTGGTATTTTGCCACTGTAGGAACAGGATGGGCTGTTGGCTCTCCTTAAGTTCTTCTCTTTTTAAAGCATTTCCCCTCTTAAAGCAGGAGTGGGAGACCCAGCAGGCTCTTCCCAAAAGTGGGGAGAACCCATTTTGATTTAAAGTGTGGCTTAATAACCCAGAGTGACTGGACTGAATGCCCATCTCGCATGCCAGTAGGCTTAGATAATAGTGCTTTTAGCTTAATCAATGCCTGCTCCCCTCGTTCCAACAAGGAGCTGAGGGTTGTTTCATGTTTTGAGGAGGAATGCATATTTTGATCCATTCCCGACCTCGCAAATTAAAGAGTTTTTAACGGGGCCCGTCAGCCAGATGGGTTTATTCCGCTGTCCCCAGAGCACCCCGGACTGAATTTTTTTAAACAAAAACAAGCGAACTATTCAAGCTACGGAGGCAGTGATGCTTTCAAATAGCAGTTGCTGGAAATTGCAGGAAAGGAGATAATGCTGTGAGGTTCTGCTTGGCCACTGCAAAGACAAGGTGCAGGGTGGGGCCCCTTGGGGGTCTGATCCGGCCACTTCTGACATCCTGATGGACAAATTTGTGTCTGGGAAGACTATTCTTAGCTACTAGCCATGACGGCGATGCTCTTGCCTCCACGGTCGGAGGCGGCGATGCCACACCCTCCAACACTTCTCCGAGGAAAATAGGAATGTCCTAAGAGAATGCAGGACATTACTGGGATCAAATCAGAAACCAGGACGGCTTCTGTAAATCTGGGTCTGTACCTGGAAAATAGGGAGACTTGGAGGGTCTCAGATGCTGTCTCCTGAGCCCTGTATCTACAGCTGATGTAGGTACCTACGGGACCGCCTCTCTTGGTATGTCCCACGGAGGACCTTACAGTCTTCAAACAAAAACATCTTGGAGGTCCTGGGCCACAGGGAGGTTAGGCTGGCCTCAACCAGAGCCAGGGCCTTTTTGGCTGTGGCCCCGCCTTGGTAGGATGCTCTGTCCCAAGAGACTAGGGCCCTGTGGGACTTGACACCTTTCCGCAGGGCCTGCAAGACAGAGCTGTTCCGCCAGGCCTTTGGCCAAGGCACAGTCTGACCCCCTCCTTTGGTAATCCTCACAGAACTCTGGCCCAATGGTTGTCATTAATTTGAATCTGAACTGATTTTAGAATGGATTTCAATTACAGTCATACCTCGGGATAAATACAGTTCAGGACAAGTATTTTCGGGTTGCGCTCCACGGCGACCCGGAAGTAACAGAGTGCGTTACTTACGGTTTTCACTGCCCACGCATGCGCAGATGGTCAAAATGACATCACACGCATGCGTGGAAGTGGCGAAACACGACTCGCGCATGCGCAGACGCATCTTACGTTCTATTCAGGATGCAAACAGGGCTCTGGAATGGATCCCGTTCGATCCCGAGGTACCACTGCAATTGACTGATTTTATGTAAACTGCTATTTTTACTGTTGTTAGCCACTCTGAGCCCGGTTTTGGCTGGGGAGAGCGGGATATAAATAAAATTTTATGATGATGATGAATATCTGAATATTTTAATATCTCCTACGGTTTATTTATTGCGTTCATATGCTCCCCCTTTTATCCAGGGAGTGCAAGATGGTGTACATGCTTCTCCCTCCTTCATTTGATCCCCACAACAACCCTGTGAGGTCGGTTATGCCAAGAGGTGGTGACTGGCCCGAGGCCACGCCTAGGGAGCCTCCTGGACAAGTGGGAGGATTTGAACCCTGTTCTCTCCCCCGAGCCACTCTAACCACTGTGCCACGCTGTCTCCCAAGCAAGAGTCTCTGCTTGCGCGTTTTGGGGGCAGCAGGCAGCAGCACTATTAGATCAGGGTGGCTGGCGAATTGCTGCCGCCCACACCCCAAACTGGCAATCTCCATCCTTTTCTCTCGTCGGGAATAAGGTGCCTCATCTATCTCACTTTAGCCTGTCAGGGGACCAGAAATGAAAAATTGGCTTGCCAGCAATGGGTTGGAATGGTCCTTGCCCAACGGTGGGGTTTCCTGCCAGGTCACTCTTGGGTCTTCCATCTCCCCTCTGATTCTAGATAAAACCCGGCCTCTGGGACACCATCTCCCCACAACCCCCCACAGCCTTTCGAATGGGGGTTTGGGGAACAGGCCTGCCTGCTTTGTATCTCGTGCACCTGCCTTGGCCATCGATCTAGTTAATTAACTGTCGGCCGTTGAGCAGATAAACTATCCATCCTGGGAATTTGCTTAATTGCTTATTTGGCCTTGTTGCTAATATATGGTTTTTTTGTGTGTGTTAAGGAAAACTCTCCCTCTGTGCTATTCTTCCAAGAAGACGATCTTTCTTCTTTTCCCCTCCCACTGGATTCGGTCGCCAAAACTGCTGCCCTCTCAGCCTCGCAGAGAGAGGCTGGTCCTTCGTCCTTCTTGAGTAGCTCAGTTGGTTACAGCATGGTGCTGATCGTGCCAAAGGCTGCAGGTTCAGTCCTTTAAGAAGGATGTTGACAACCTGGGGTGTGGGCCCAGGAGG